GCCTTGTTTTTAAAAATGTATAATTACAAAGTGAAAAAAGGGAAAAAAACAAAAAACTCTGAACCTGACCTAAATTGGGCATGTCGGTCTGGGAGAGCTTCACGGAGGGAGAGACCTTTGAGCTGAGATCCAGATGATGGGCCGGAGATACTTGGTGGACACAGAAGGTGGAGCAGAAGGTTAGCGCCTTCTGAGCCCATAGGGAGAGCAAGACCATTTTGTCGATAGAGTTTGGTTGAATCCTCTCAGACGAAGGGGTGGAGAATTGAGAGCTGGGAAGGCTTCTAAGCTGATTTGGGCATCAGTGCCTGCTAAAGGTCTGAATGTTTGTGTCGCCCCCAAACTCCCCACGCGGAAATCCTACTGCCTAAAGTAATGGCATGGGCAGGTGGGCCTTTTGGGAGGTGCGTAAGCCAGGAGGGCGGAGCCCTCATGAATGGGATCCGTGCCTCCTGGAAGAGCTCCGGAGAGCTCCTTAGCGCCCCCAGCAGGTGAGGATGAGGCAGGAAGGCGCGAGCCTCTGAACGGGGAAAGAGGATCCTCCCCAGACCGCGAGGGTGCTGGTGCCTTGGACTTGCCGAGGACTGCCCAGCCTCCAGAACTATGACAAACAAACTCCTGCTGTTTGTAAGCCCCCCACGTCTGTAGTATTTTGTGGGACTGGTGGGATTCACGTAACAAGAGGGGGCGGCTCAAACCACTGACAGCGAAAGCGCAGTGAGGGATGCTCAGCACTGCTGTACAGGGAGGTTGGAAGGAATGTGCGCAGCAAGGGGCCTCACAACCAGCAGGACAAGCCCAGACAAGCAGTCCATCCAGCTGGGTGCACACGCGCAAAAAGGTCACCTGGGGCGACAGCGGCTGTGACACCGCTAGGACCCCACCAGCACCGCCCTTCCCCCTGGACAGTCTGCGTCCTTCGCGGCACCTCCGTTTTACCTCTCCCCTGAAGGGGAGCCTCCTGCTCCTGCGCCTGACGGGTGAGCTTTATGTCATGTGTCTGCATCCCGGCTTCCAGGGCCACTGGGAAAGCGGGCTGCTAGCTTCTTTCTTGGGGAAGCGAGACTTGGAAGGTCGGAAAGCTCCCAGGCATACGCAATGCGCTCCAGAGGAGCCAGCAGGGGGTTTTCACCCGTTGCGCTGGAGGTCTGTCGTTAAGCCTGGAGGCGTCCTTTTCTAAGATTGGGCACAGCTAGAGCCTCCGTTGTCCTGTTTCTTATCTATGAAACGGAGCCACTTAAGACAAACTAAAACGCCCTTGTCTCATAATACTTTCACTCAGCACCAGCTACATAATTTGCAGGGCCCAGTGAAAAAATTCAAATGCTGGGCTCTTTGTTCAAAAATTTAGAGCTTAAAGACAGAGACAGAAGAGCATTAGACCGGGCGCCTGGGTGGCTCAGTTGGTTAAGCGATTGCCTTTGGCTCAGGTCATGATCCTGGAGTCCTGGGCTCGAGTCCCACATCGGGCTCCCTGCTCAGCAGGGAGTCTGCTTCTCCCTCTGACCCTCCTCCCTCTCATGCTCTCTCTATCTCATTCTCTCTCTCAAATAAATAAATAAAATCTTTAGGAAAAAAAAAAAAGAAGAAGAGCATTAGACCAAGCTGGGCCCTTCTGAGCCTGAGTCCCCATGCACCTGCACAGATCACACACCTTTGAGGCTGGTTCTGCTTCCTTCTTCCTCTGTGGCCAGTAGGATTATTTTGTATGAACAACTGTCTAATCTAGTGTTGCTAGACACAACAGGAAGAGAGGGGAACTCAAACGATATTCTTTATTCTAGAAAGGTCTGGATCCTTCTGGAAACCTACTAGAGTTCATTTGGGAGGCATCACACTGGAACCTACACAAGGAAGAAAGGATGAAATGCCAAGGCTGAATTGAGAAGAGTTGCTTTGGCAAGCTTGTTCATCCTGCCTGTCCTCATAACAATGCCCTACTGCTTGTCATGGTTTGTCATGGTGGGTGAACTGGGGCAGGATTTTGAAACATTACAGAGGTTTCCTTTCTCCCTTCATTTCTTCCTTTCTTTCTTCTTTCTTTCTTTTTTCCTTTCTTTCTTTCTTTCTTTTCTTTCTTTCTTTCTTCCTTTCTCATATAAACCTTGGTCAAATATATCCTTTGAAGCTAAAGAAAGACATCCATAGGCTGATATTGCATGCCAAAGGCTACAAGTGGTTTAAGATTTATATAAAAAGAGAAAACATCCCAAAATTCATCCATCAATACCAGGCTTCTCCAAAATCCCATAGGACCTTAGCTACTAAAAGAGAAAGCTAGAAATTGGTAATACCCATGCTTATATGCATGGACGACTCTAGTTGCCATGTAAATGTGTTTTTTTGTTTTGGTCTGGTTTGTCGGGGGGAGTAGATTTTATTTATTTATTTGAGAGAGAGAGAGCGCACCCGAGAAAGAGTGCACGAACGGTGGGGAGGGGCAGAGGAAGAGGGAGAAGCAGACTGCCTGCTGAGCAGGAGCCCCAACACACGAGGCTCAATCCCAGGACCATGAGATCATGACCTGAGCCAAAGGCAGATGCTTAACTGACTGAGCTACTCAGGTGCCCCTAGATGCCATGTAAATGTAAGTCTAATTTCTGCCTTGCGTGCTCAGGTGGTTTGAGTAGAGGTATGATGATGTCAGCCCTTGGAAGTGAGGTAAAAATTATGTCTCCCTGACAGGTGTCTTTAAACATGCTGAGACAAGGAGGAGAGATGCAATTACAGACAGGAGGGAAGTCCGGTTTGGGGACAAGAGAGACTGTCTTGTGTCAACGTGCAAGGGAGAAGCAAAAGCAAAGATGGTGTGTGGATAGCAGGGTTGGAAATCTACAAAGATTGGGAACATGGATGGGGGAGAAAGGCGTCAGTTTAGATGGTTCTGGAACACATGCAGGGATTCTTAACATTTGTGGGGTCTTATTTAGTACAGCAGATGGTAAAGCACCCCAACTCTGGTTGTAAAAACTCCCTTCCACTTACTAGCTTTGTGACCTTGAGGAAGTGATTTAACTTTGTCAAGCCTCAGTTTCCTTGTCTGCAGAATGAGGATAGTGATGATAACTCTATGGATATTAAATCATTTATCAAACATTTCTAACAGTGCCCACTTGATAAGAACTCAGTGAATACTAGCTATGGTCATGATGATGGTGATGATAATGAAGGTAGCAGATGACGGTGGGCAAGGGAGTTAGCTGGTCTCTCCTGCCAGAGCACCAGGGTAGGGCCAGTGAGCCTGTGGATGCCACAAGGGTGGGGTAATGATGAGAGAGGAGGAACCTCTCCTCTCCTGCTCTAAGCAGGCCTGTGCCTTCTAAGAGCAGTGTCTGAGATCCTCTTTAGATATTCATGGGGTTATGTTATGTGTGTATATGTTATACACAGTGATCATTAAGCTGCATTTTTCCTACTTTAGAGCAAATATTTGGTCAAGTGCCCACAAAAATTGAGTAGAGGCACTGTCAGGAGGGCCTCACCTAGAGATGAGAGCCATTGGAATAAGGGAGAAAGAGCTCTGGACTCAGGGCTGCACCTTTGAGGAACGGCTCTTCCACCTTTGGGCAATCTCTTTTCCTCTATGGAGATTTACAGGCCCTACAGGAAGGGAGACAGCTCCCACTGCCTGTTTCTGGCTGCTGGGGAATCAGAATCAGTGAGTTCTCATGTCTGAACCTCCCTCACTTGCTTTACGTAAGAAAAGGAATAAGGAGAACAGAGAAGTGTCTGTGACAAGCTTTAGGTTTTGTTTTTGTCTTCTGGAAATGTTTTGTGTCGGGTCAAATTACCACACATATATGATATATCCATGTGTGTATGTGTGTGCATATTTCTCTTTTTCTGATTATAAATGTAATGCATGCTCATTAGAGAACCTCTGGAAAATACAAAAGCCAAAAGTCAAAAACAGGAATCACCGATAAGACCATTACCCAGGGACCATTGCTCTGCCTTTGGGTTTATTACGTTTCCTTTCATTCATTTACAATATGTATGTCATTCAAATACACAAACATAATAGAATTTGTTAAATTTGTATTATATTTTAGAAGGTTTTATATCATATTTCTTCTATTTATTGTTGACATTTTCCTATGTGATTAAATGTTCTTTGAAAACATTTCAGTTATATACAGAGGAATTAACTCTTTTTGAGTTCTGAGTGTTGGTAAATGCAGACATTCAGGTCACCACCACAGTCAAGATACAGAACAGTTTCTCACTCCCCAAAAATTCCCTCACACTACCCCGTTGTAGTTACCACTCCCCCTAGTCCTAATCCCTGGCAACCACTGATTTATTCTCCATTCCTACAGTTTTGCCTTTTCCAGAATGTTACAGAAGTTGAATAATACAGTATGTAGCCTATGGGTCTATCTTCTTTTATTAGCAGAGTGCATCTGAGTGTTACTCATGTTGCTGCATATACCAATAGCTGGTTACTTTGTATCGGTAAATATAGAGTGTTGCTGAGTACTGTATAGATGTACCACAGTCAGTTCATCCATTCACCAGCTGAAGGACATTTGGGTTAGTAAACATGACTTCTACCAGTTGAATGATATTCTATTCTACAGATATACCAAACCACATGAAGACAGTTCCCTATTATTGGACATGGTGAGTTTCTTCCCCCTCCCCATTATATATAACCGTTAAATGAACAACTTTTTTTTAATTAAATTATTTATTTATTTGACAGAGAGAGTGGGGGGAAGGGCAGAGGGAAAGGAAGAAGGAGAAGCAGACTCCCCTCTGAGCAGGTAGCCTGAGGCGGGGCTCAATCCCAGGACCCCAAGATCATGACTGGAGCCAAAGTCAGACATTTAACTGACCGAGCCACCCAGGCACTCCTAAATGAACATCTTTATACATAAATCTTTGCATGCCAATATATATGTATACATTTATATAGTGTGCCGGAGTCCAGCTCCAGCCGGGGTGGGGCTCTCGTAGGAAAGGATGGTGTCGGCGAATGAGGAGACACAGACACAGGATCAGGTTGCAAGCATCTCCTCCCGACAGCCTCGGAGGAACTTTATCTATATGTTAGGATATTTTTGTTTTTCCATACTTTCGTAACATGTGATTATGTTTGTTTTTTTTTTTACAATTTATCGAGATAATCTTAGATCATTTTCTGGATTACAGCCATAGCCTTCTTTCATTTTTCCTTTGTAATGATTAACATGATCTTTATTGATTTCCGCTTATTGACTTTCGCTAAAACTAAAAAACAGTACGCAAAGAGAAAGGTGCTAGACAGAGCGTGACCGTCTTGTTATTTTGTTCTATGGAAACCAATTCTTCATGGAATTAGTTTCATTATGATTGCTTAGATAGGCGTAACTAAGATGAGTAGTCACTTTATCATGCAACCCCAGAAATATTCCCACAATTATAAAGATTGCCATAAACAAAATGAAAGAGAATAGCAGGAGCCAGCTGTGGAGTCTCCTGTTTTCAGGATCGTCCCCCATACTTGGACCTTGTCAAATAGCATGAGTAGCTTGGCTCGCGCCAATAGTGTATATATATCTTAAGCTATCAATAAGCAAGCAGTGTGCCCCACTGAGGATAAGGGAAAATACAGAAAAAATACAGAATTTAGTTCTGTTAGAATTTCCTAAAAATATTTTTTATACAGCAATAGTTTGGATCTCAATGCTTTGTACCATTATGAAATAAGAAGCTAATAACTCGCTTTAATTCTAATGCAGCAATTTTAACCTGTTCAATAGGACTAGATAAATTTCTTGTCTCTGAAATCTGGAGCATGTGTATCATTGAAAACTCCTCTCGGGACATTGTTTTCCCAGCAGGGAGCTTCATTAGACAATGGAATCACCTGGTATGCACAGAACAAGAAGGATGAATGTGCAAAGGGCAGGCTTCAGGGCTGGTGGACGGTTAGGGCTGCACAGCGGAGTTTCCAGTTACATTTGAACAGCTGAAGCCAGAGCCACTAAGAAAGGAATGATATGGCTGGCACCAGGTTCTGCCCAGAGAGGTGGGACTTCCCTTTGAGTAGATGCTGCTGCCCTGCAAATCAAAAAGGAAATAAAGAAAATGTCAGTGTTGGTGTCTGGCGCCTACTTTCAAAAATATGCATACACGCGGGGCGCCTGGGTGGCTCAGTTGGTTAGGCGACTGCCTTCGGCTCAGGTCATGATCCTGGAGTCCCGGGATCGAGTCCCGCATCGGGCTCCCTGCTCGGCAGGGAGTCTGCTTCTCCCTCTGACCCTCCCCCTTCTCATGTACTCGCTCTCTCTCATTCTCTCTCTCTCAAATAAAAATAAATAAATAAATCTTTAAAAAAAAAATATGCATACACGCACACTGCAGAAAAAATGAAATAGTACAGAAAGTATAAAGTGAAAAGTAAAAGTGTCTTAGACTCCCCATTCTTTTTTTTTCCTAAGATTTTATTTATTTATAAAGAGAGAGAGCAAGCATGAGTGGGGGAGGAGGAGAGGGAGAAGCAGACTCCCTGCTGAGAGAGGAGCCCAATGCAGGGCTTGATCCCAGGGTCCTGGGATCATGACCTGAGCCAAAGGCAGACGCTTAACCGACTGAGCCACCCAGGCACTCCATAGACTCCCCATTCTTGCTTTCCACAGAGAATCATTGTTGATGGTTTGAGTTGGCTTCCGAGGAAGGACACCTGTCTTTACATTGTGCACACACCTACACACACCTTCATGCACCCTTTTACAAGCACAAATGGATCTGCAACCTTTTTCAACTAACATCAGATTTTGGACACATATCCTTATTGAACATATTAGTTACTTCATTCTTCCTCGTGGATGGATTCTTACTGTATGGATATACCATAAAGCTAGCCAACCTCTGTACTGATGGACATTGTGTCACTGGAGTTTAGTAAGGAAAAACCTATCTTGACGTTAAGACACCAAGAGAGGACCTGGCCAAAAAAATGGACTCCGACTATAGCAAATAGAGTCTGACCACTGACTGGATTTTTTAAAACGGAAATTACTGAATTTTAAAAACCAATTAAAAGATATATTTTTTAAAATCATGAAACAATCTAATGTTGGCTTGGAAATTTATCCCGTGGTTTTGGACTCCATTTGATTGCTGGTCACCCTTTTTTTGCTAATGATTATTGCAGCATTATTTACAATTGCCAAGATTGAGAAACAACCTAAATGTCCATCCATAGACAAATGGATAAGGAGGATGTGGTACACACACACACACACACACACACACACAGAGGAATATTACACAGCCATAAAAAGGGATGAGATTTTTTTTTTTTTTTTAATCATTTGCAACAACATAGATGGACCTAGAGGGTCTTATCCTAAGTGAAATAAGTCAGATTAAGAAAGACAAATACCATATGATTCACTCATATGTAAAATCTAAAATAAAAAAACAAATAAAAAGTGGAATCAGACCTGTAAATACAGAGAACAAACTGATGGTTGCCAGATGGGAGGGAGGATGGGCAAAAGGGATGCAGGGGGTGGAAGATACAGGCTTCCAGTTAGGGATGAAGAAGGCACAAGAAAAAAAAAGGCACAGCATAGGGCATTTGGTCAATGATACTGTAACAGACTTGGGCGCCTGGGTGGCCCAGTTGTTAAGCGTCCGCCTTCAGCTCAGGTCATGTTCTGGGATCTAGTCCCGCATCAGGCTCCCTGCTCAGAGGGGAGCCTGCTTCTCCCTCTCCCACTCCCCCTGCTTGTGTCCCCTCTCTCACTGTGTCTCTCTCTGTCAAATAAATAAAATCTTAAAAAAAAAAAAATACTGTAATAGACTTATTTGTTAACAGATAGTAGCTACACTTGTGAGCATAGCATAATATATAAATCTGTTGAATGACTATGTTGTACACTGGAAACTAATGTAACATTGTGTGTCAACTACACTCAAATAAAAACAAAATAAAGGAGGGGCACCTGGGTGGCTCAGCCCATTAAGAGGCTGCCTTTGGCTCAGGTCATGGTCTCAGGGTCCTGGGATCCAGCCCCATGTTGGGCTCCCTGCTCAGCGGGGAGTCTGCTTCTCCCTCTGCTCCTCCCACCCCCATGCTCGCTCTCTCTCTTTCTCTCGCAAATTAAATAAATAAAATCTTAAATAAAAGAAGAATCTTAAGCAGCCCACACATTTGTACTAGGGCTCCTCCTGCTGGACATTTTCTACAATTGCACTTCTGATTCAGATAATCTCAGACTTGATTTACTCAAAATTGATTTTTTTTTTTTTGCTTTAAGATAATTAATGAATATAAGGGTATAGTTATGCTTATTCTTTTAAAAAAAGATTTTTTAAAGATTTATTTATTTATTTTAGAGAGAGAGCACGGAGGTGCAGAAGGAGAGGGAGAGCACACTCCCTACTGAGCACGGAGCCCACCACAGGGCTCCATCTTACAACACTGAGATCATGACCTGAGCTGAAATCAAAAGTTGGACACTAACAAACTGAGCCATCCAGGCATATCTATGTTTATTCTTTTAGAAAAATAAAATATTACAGAACAAAATAGTTATACTGAGTGTCTCCATCCTTTTCCAGTTCTCCCTCCCTTTCCTAAAAGTAACCACTTAGAGCAATTTGGAGTTCATGTCCTTAGACCTATTTCATCATTGATGTCCATTATCATGCACAAATAGAAACATACAGTTTTGTTTTCCTTTGCTTTTCATGACTGGGTTCATGTTCTAGGCCTTTACTTGTCACATTTTAACATAAACTTGTCCTGTTTATGTGAGGTTGTGCTTGAGGGCAGCTTTCATGCAAAGATAAAAACACTATTGGCAATTACTTTGGCTTAAAAAATTAATTCTAGCTATTAAACTTACAAATTCAAAAACTTTATTTCCCCATACATTTGTCTATTTAATTTATGAATCATGTTTTTCTATTTAAAAACCTAGGGGGTTGCCCGGCTGGCTCAGTTGGTAGAGGATGGCTAAAAATTTAGTAAAATCTAAGTACTTATGTTACTGAAATATAACTTTCAACAAAAAAATCCCAATCTGATATGTTTGGAATCAAAGAGCTATTCCAACAGCTATTTTTATATGTTAAATTCTATAAAATGTTACAAATAAATTAAATACCAAAAACTGTAAGTTGTTCCTAAACTTACCCCAGAACTATTAATAACATGAGTTAGATTTATATAAACAGCTGTTTGTTCCATTCTAAACCTTTGCAGATTAAAAGTCCTTTACTCCATTATCCCTAAGCAAGTGGAGCTTGGAATTCCCACTTCTGTGTCCTGGGGTGTGTTGGGGGAAGAAGGGACAACTCATTTTGGACAGAGAATTCAGACCAAGATAAGAGATTTGATGTTTCTCCTTGACCCTGACTGACAAAGTGAGTCCTTATTTTAATAACATAAGTACATCTGTTTTCTCATATCTTCGCCAATCCAGTAGATTATCATTGTACTGAATTTTTGGCCAAAACTAGAGCCTATAAGCCTTTAAGTTTGTTTTCTACATATTTTTTCACTTGAATTGTTCATGAGAATTTTTCCATTGCTGTATGATTATTCCTACCACTGTCCCCCACCCCAATTTTATGGAAATATAATCTAATTACAATATCTACATTATATTCCATCCAGTAAATGTAATCCTTTGATGTAACCACTCACTTTTCATTGGATATTTAGGTCCAGCTCCCAATGCTTACACTTTGGATTCAGTACTATAAAGAATGCTGTGTGGGGGCGCCTGGGTGGCTCAGATGGTTAAGCGTCTGCCTTCGGCTCAGGTCATGATCCCAGGGTCCTGGGATCGAGTCCCGCATCGGGCTCCCTGCTCCTTGGGAACCTGCTTCTCCCTCTGCCTCTCTCTCTCTCTCATGAATAAATAAAATATTAAAAAAAAAAAAAAAAGAATGCTGTGATGAACATCTTTGAACATACAGGTTGCGCCCACATTCTGAATCATTTCTTTAGAAGAGGGTACCGGGGGACGCCTGGGTGGCTCAGATGGTTAAGCGTCTGCCTTCAGCTCAGGTCACGATCCCGGGGTCCTGGGATCGAGTCCCGCATCGGGCTCCCTGCTAGGCGGGGAGCCTGCTTCTCCCTCTGCCGCTGCCTCTCTCTATCTCTCTCTCTGACTCTCATGAATAAATAGATAAAACAAACAAAATTTTTTTTTTTTTTTAGAAGAGGGTACCGGAAGTACCCTAAGGTCTGACTTAGGCCAAAGACTGTGAATATTTTTATAATTTCTGATACATATTGTCAAATTGTTCTCCTGAGCAATTTATAAACTTACAATAGCATCAAGCATTGAATAACACTTTTAAAATATTTTTTCGCTATTTTTGGCTAAGGTATGTCCAAGATGTTGAGGTGAAAATTGCACCTCATTAAATTTGTATCTCATTATTACTAGAAAGATGAAATCATTCTCCATATTTGCCACTTGGGGATCGTCTCCTGCAAATCATCTCTCAATATTCTTAGCTAAGTTGTTTAAAAAAGAGATCAGTAAAATTCCTTCCAGGGCAAAGAAAGTGGAAGAAAACCTGCCAAGAGTGAAAGAGGGTTTTCTTCTTGGGGCATCTGGGTGGCTCAGTCGTTAAGCGTCTGCCTTCGGCTCAGGTCATGATCCCGGAGTCCTGTGATGGAGCCCCGCGTTGGGCTCCCTGCTCAGTGGGAAGCCTGCTTCTCCCTCTCCCACTCCCTCTGCTTGTGTTCTCTCTCTCGTTCTCTCTCTCGCTGTGTCTCTCTCTGTCAAATAAATAAATAAAATCTTTAAAAAAAAAAAAGAAAGAGGGTTTTCTTCTTGACATTCAGTGGCATGGGGAAAGAATTGTCATACATAAATCTTTGCAACAATTGCTGGAAGAATGCCCAAAGTAGAGAGCAGATCAGGTACTTTAAATCCCTTATCTGCTGTACTGTGAGCCACAGTGACGTTTTGAGGCAGTATGGTTTGGTGGGGAAAGCAAGGACTCGACACACAAACTTGGGTTCTGTTTCTGGCTCTAGCCAGTCCTAAGGGACTTTAAGAGATCACTTAACCCCTTCAGCATCACTGATGGGGATCGAGTTGCCCACTTTCTTGGAAAGAAACAAGATGATGACTCCAGGACTGCCAGGCTGGAAGCCTGACACGCCCGAAGTCCCCGGAAAGTTCTGGCAACAGGTAAGGAGAGACACCCTCATTCACCTGACACCTCCTGCAGCACAGGAGGTAAACTGAGGCACAGGTAGCCAGGGTGGCACCCCCTGCCTGTTTCAGGAATGGCTGTGTAGGGTGCCATGGGCATGATCTGTATCTGTATAAAGCTGACAGTTGGCTTAAGGAGACAAGGAGTAAAATCATAAAGACCTAAGTTATGCTGTAACACTATGGATATCTACCTCTCCAGGCTTTTTGAAGTCCTCAGCTCACTGGATTGCCTACCTATTAAGTCCTCTCAACAACCTTATTCCGCCCTTTTTCCACCTAAGTGAGCCATTGGTTTCCGTTTCTTGCAATCAAAATCTGGAATATATATATATATATACACACACACACACACACACACACACACACACACACACACCAGACACGTCTCCAACTCTTGTAGGACATTTGTCATTCCTTTCGACTGCCTGACCAAATTGAGACATTCTTTGTCTCAAATCCAAATGCCTCCTCAGAGTAGAAACCAATCATTTGTTCATTCACTCATTCATTTATTCATTCCTTCATTCCTAAGCACCTACCCGGTTGCAGACTACATGCTAATCTGGGACACATCCATCACTGAACAAAACAGGTAAAAGTTCCTGTCTTTCTGGGGCTTATGTTCTAACATGTGGGAGACAGGCAGTAAAGAATAAACTTATTGAGCAAAGAAGCTGGAGGATGAGAAACACTATAAAAAGGTAAAATAGAACATCATGAGGGGTTTCACAGAGCCATCTATGGTGCAGGCTGTAATTTCAAATACTGAGATCACCATAACTTCATGGAGGCAAGATAGGAGCTAATGCAGTAGGTGAGAAAGTTAGCCGCACAAACAGCTAGGGGAAGGACTTCCAGGCAGAATGAACAGTGCAGGCAAAGGCGCAAGGGCAGGAACATGCCTGGCATGTTCCAAGAGGCCACTATGGTTGAGGCGCAGAAAGAGGAAAGGAGCAGGAAAGAAGACGGAGAGAAATGGGCCGGGGCAGGCTGTTTGGCTCTGACTCTGAGAGGGATGTGGGAGCAACTGCAGAGTTGTGAGCAGACGAGTCACATGACTCAATGGTTGAAGAACTACACTCTATGTGTATGTTTGGAAGTTTCCCTAATAAACAGTTAAAATAAAAGGCTGACTCTAGCATCTGGGTTGCAAAGAAGCCATGAGGGATGGGACAAAGTGGAAGCAAGGAGACTCATTAGGGTCTACTCAGTAATCCAGGGGGGCGATGACCAGGCTGGTTCCAGTAGGTAACTGCATATTCCTTCCTTCTCTCTTTCTGTGTCTGTCTCTCTCTCTCTCTAATGGACTAGTTATAAAAATGGACAAAATATTCTACGTAATACACACAGCACAGTGTCTGGCTTGCAGCCCTGATTAATGTTCTGCCCCTTGTAGATGGAAGAGTGGATCCTATGGACGTTAGGGAGCACCCACTGCAGCATGACAGGCTCTGCTCTGCCAGCTCGGCAGGAGGTCAGCCCACTTGGGCATATGTTCTCCAAACCTGCAGCGACCTAGCAGCTCAGAGAGACTGAGAAGCGCAGAAGCACAAACCTTACTCAGCAGCCAGATTATTTTAGGGCGTGGGTGTTAAATCATACTGCAGTTCATCGGCGTTCTGTCAATGGTAAGGCCTGGTTAGCTTGGGGAAGCAAGGAGGTTGGGTCAGACATCTACTTACGAATTCAAAGCACAGTCAGGATGGGTGCTGTGGTCCACGCACTTTAAGAGCTTCACTGGTCTACGGAATGAAAAGAAAGAATATTTAAGGGATTATTTAAATGCTCTCACTCATCAAACATTTTATGATGTGTCTACAAAGTATTGGGGGTACAAAGTCTCTGACCTTGAAGAACACACAAACTTTTTTTTTTTTTTTAAGATTTTACTTATTTATTTGAGAGAGAGAGAGAGCACAAGCAGGGGGAGCGGCAGGCAGAGGGAGAAGCAGGCTTCCCACTGAGCAAGGAGCCCGATGCGGGGCTTGATCCCAGGACCCTGGGATCATGACCCAAGCCGAAGGCAGATGCTTAACCAACTGAGCCACCCAGGTGCTCCCACACAAACTATTTCTTTTAAGAAATATTAGCTAGCACTTATTGAGCACTTACTATGTACCAAGAAATCTGATTATGTTTATACAGACCATGTCATTGAATCCTCTCAACAACCAAATGGAGCGGGTATTACCATCTCCAACTTAGAGCTGAGAAAGCTAATCAGAGTCACTTGCCCAAGTACACACAGTAGCCATTGTGGAGCTGAACTTGAACCTTGCAGGCTCACGCCAGAGCCCAAGCATGGAACCACTTCTGTAAGGATGGAACGGGCTTGCTTGGAAAATCCTCCTGATGAGGTCTTTGGCCAGAAAGTTGGACTTGACGCACATGGGTGATGGCTAGTACCCAGGCTTCAGCAAAGAAGCTACCCAGTAGAGGGAGAAGATGCAGAGTCCCAGGAGGGCAGGGAAAGCAGAAGAGAGAGAGGAGCCAGGTAGCTGAGGCACACTGGGCACTAAGGAGGAGGCAGGCCAACAGCGGCTTTCTCCTGGCCAGGTGCTGGAAGGGACTCTGGAAAAACAGGAAATGCGTTGTTCGCTTTACTGCTCCCCAGGTCTTGACTACTCTCTGGTAAAGTCTATACTACGCAGGTATTTGTTATGAGAATAGCTTGTTGTTGCTGTTTTCTGCCCCCAACCCCCAAAGTCATTGAGTTTCATGGAGTCTGGCTCAATACAGAGCTCACAGAAATCAACCAGGAGGCAAGAGAGGCTCTGGAAAGAGAAGAGCTGGCCAAAATGTGCAAGAATCTTGGGGAGAACTGATGGCCACAGGACAGAGGCATGTCACTTGAATTGTGTGGGGCAAGAGGTTGTTAGGGGAGGAGGTTGGTGTGTTAACCTTGGTCATTCTCCCAAGGTAGACCTTTCGTTATCTCCTCTGCGCTCCCAGGAGCAATACAAATCCCAGCTGAACACCGGAGCCCAATGGGCAGTAAAGAAGAGGGAGAAGGGGACCTGAGCCAGGCTTGCAAGGGAAGAGCCCCGAAGGGCAGTGCAGGTGGGGACAACTAGAGCAAGTGAAAGCAGGCTGAGTCCCCTAGGACAGCCGTGAGCGGGGAAGGACACCTTGGGCTCTGGCTTGGGTCACCACATGCGGCCTGATGACTTACAAAGACAGCCTCCTCAAGGGAGTTCCTGGGCCAAAGTAAAGTGGTCCTAAATGTGGAATTTTTAGGCACAATTTTCCCCATCATTGAGCTGCTTTAGCAAAGACCTGCCTTTTAAGGCAAATTCATGAAAATCTGGTGCTTTCTTGTTGTGATGAGCACCGGGTGTTGTACTGAAATGTGGAATCACTATACTGTTCACCTCAAACTAATATTGCACTGTATGTTAACTAACTGGAATTTGAATAGTCTTAAAAAAATAAAATACAACCTGGTGCTTTAAGAAAGGAAGGGTCCCAAAGTAGAAAGAAAAGAGCATCCTTCAAAGCCATACAATGCTGGGTTCAAAACTCAGCTCTGTCCCTGAGTGGTGACCTTGGAAAACTTATTTAATCTCTCTGACCCTTAATTTACCCATCTGCGGAAAAGGGATATTTATATAAAGCTTAACAACAGACACAAGGAATCTAAGACAAGTCTAGAGAGAGGTTACTATTGTGGGCAGGCAGGAAGGCTGAAAGGGAGGATGAGGGGAGACTCTGAGCTGCTGGTTATGTTGTTGTGTGTTGAACTTGGGAAAATTCATCCAACTGTGTACTTATGGTTGGTGCATTTTCCTGTACAGAGTCTATAGTTTCCAAAAACAGTATTTGCGCTTTTTTTTAAGATTTTTATTTATTTATTTGACAGAGACACAGCGAGAGAGAGAACACAAGCAGGGGGAGTGGGAGAGGGAGGAGCAGGCTTCCTGCAGAGCAGGGAGCCCGATGCAGGGCTCCATCCCAGGATCCTGAGATCATGACCTGAGCCGAAGGCAGACGCTTAACCAACTGAGCCACCCAGGCGCCTGCTTTGTTTTGTTTTTAATAGAGGGTGGTAACACCTCACTTTTGAGCTTCCTGAGAGCGTTAACAGTAACAGAGGGGTACACTGATACAGCATCAAGCTGTGAAAAACAGCTTCGAGGGGCTCTTTGTCTGGCAAAACGGGGGAGCAACCCATATTTCCAGTGGGCTTTGCTCAGCTGGGAGGATTATCCAGCCCACAGAGCTCATGAGAAGGCATAGTGCGGCAGAGCCAGCTGGATGGTCGTGGGGGCTGGACAAGACTGCAGATGGAATTTCCACTCTGCTGTACCCACGAATTTTCAAGAAAGCGACCCAGTCCTTGCAATGTTGCACCTCCACCCTGAGGAACCAAGCAGGGCTGCAGACTTAGGCATTGAGGTGGAGAAAAGCAGGAAGCAGCAAGGTAAGGAGTTCCCAGTGCAGGGGAGGGTTTTCAATGGTACTTAGGGATTCAGCCTAACTTATCTAAATTTCCAAGAATCAGGGGCACTGAGGTGGCTTAGGGTGTGACTCTTGGTTTCAGCTCAGGTGGTGATCTCAGGGTCATGAGATGGAGCCCACCGTGGGGCTCCTCACTCAGCATGGAGTCTGCTTGAGATTCTCCCTCTCTGTCTCCTTCTGCCCCTCACCCCCCATTCACACGCATGCGCTCTCTCTTTCTCTCTCTCCAAAATAAATAAAATCTTAAATTTCCAAGAATCAGGAAAGCCTGCAGGCAACACCTGATTATAAGTACATAAAGTACTTAGCCCATAATGTGCTCAATCAATGGTAGCTGTTATTATTTTCCTATTGGTCTACTGTTAAGATGCATTTCTCTGTAAGAATCTCAAGCAAACCCACCCTAGCATCTATCTTGGGCAAGGATCCGTGGCATCCAAAGATAAAAGGACCACAGTGCCTGTTCCCAGGTTACTCACCTGCCAGAAGCAAGGGAGGGGAAACAGGACATGCACAAATGAAAAGGGGTTTCTATTTGTCCTGTAGCATCTTTTAAAGAGGACTCTGGACAAAAGTGGGTGGGACCCAGGCGGAGCCCTGGCCAGAAGGCACTCCCAGCCCTCACACCCAGTGACAGCCCAGAAGGCACAGTCCTGTGGCCCTTAGAGCTGATCCCAGCAGAACACATTCAACAGCCCCGTGCTCTCCAAAATCACTGCTCCACCTTTGAAATTGCACACTGATTATGATATACCACCTACAGGTGATCGTTAATACAGCTGTACTGAAAACCCATTTTCTTCAGTCTCTCTTCCAGGATTTTCACAGTGCCTTCTCCACAGGATTCCCTAAAATATAAAAACATGTAAGTAAAATTAAAGGAGGAGGAAAAAAGGAAGCTGTTTCGGGGTGCATTAAAATTTCCTATGACCACGTGCTTCCCGGGTTATTCTCCTTTCTGAGGGAATACGCGACAGTAACCCCAAAACTGCCGCTTGCGGGGAACCCGCGGTCCCCCCAGGAGACCGTGCGCTGAGCTCCAAGGTCTGCGGGTCCAGCGCACCGGGAGGGCCTGGGCTGGCGCAGGCGCAGTGCGCCCCACCCAGCACCGCCCCTCAGCGACGCGCCCCAGGCCCGCACAGGGCTGCCAACGTGCTCACCATGCAATGTGTGTTAGGTTAGGCTTTAAATGAAAGCAAGAACATACAAGTCAAAAATTAGCAAAAAAGGCAAATAAACACAAGGAAAAAGAAATCACCCCAGTCGCTTATCACTAGGGCCAAGTGCTGCTAACATTTTGGTGTATATCCTTCTAAACGTTTGAAATACGCTCCTTCCCACGAGACTTTTAAACTATAACAGGCTTCTGCTGTCCGATGCATTTTGTATTCTGCTTTGGCACAAGTATACTTCTATACACTTCTCCGCTGTTATTTTTAAATTCCTGCATGGTCTCCCTTATGTAATCAGAACATGATTCATAAAACCCGTCCCCTCTTGTTGATGATCAAGTTTGATTCCTATATCAAAATATAGGATATAGGAAATAGATCCTATATATTTAGTCACACTAAAACTAACCTTGTCGGAGCTTCATTTTCAAACACATCCTTTAATTCTTTATTCCCTTAGCATAAATTCCTGGAAGTAGGTTTTCTGGCACTAAGGTTTTGAATGCAATTTAAGGCTCCTTGATGGCGTCAAAGCACAAAAATTCAACTGAGTAAATCTGAAAATCTAATCGGCTTTATTCAACGATTCAGGAATAGAGCGGCATCCCTCCTAGTAAACAGGCAAGTGCTCTGAGAAGTCCTTGGAAATGGAAGGCTTTGTATCATTAGGAGGGTGTGACAAGGAAGTTATTAACAAAAGAAAAGAAAGGATTATTTCAGGCCAGGTCACCTTCTCTTTGGGAGGAAGGGAGAGGCAAGGATTTAGTGTGCCGATGACCTCACTGTGGCCGATCAGGAAATTTCAGATTGACTCTTGAAAGGTCACATTTCTGGGAGAGGTTGAAACTTGGTTTGCTACTGCGGGGAGAACTGACTCCATTTGGGACCCACTGTTACTTTTTTGTTGTTGTTATGGAAGTAGAGTTGATACACAAGGTTACATTATTATTATTTTTTTTAAGATTTTTATTTATTTATTTGACAGAGAGAGAGAAAGCGAGAGCAGGAACACAAGCAGGGGGAGTGGGAGAGGGAGAAGCAGGCTTCCTGCTGAGCAGGGAGCCCGATGCGGGACTCGATCCCAGGACCCTGGGATCATGACCTGAGCCGAAGGCAGACGCTTAACGACTGAGCCACCCAGGAGCCCACAAGGTTACATTATTAATTGGGCCTGTTGTTTCTTTTCCAACAAGAGGCAATGCCAAATTGCACCCTCTGCTGCCCACCAGGTCACCATGTGAGTGTTCATTTCCCCACACTCTCCCCCGCTGGGAGTCCTGCCCTCCTGTGGCCATAATTCAGCAGGGGCAAACAGCACGAATACCAGCAGCTCTGGCAAGCAGATGTGGCATTCATGTCACCGGCAGCCCTGCCTCAGTTTACCCGGAATGAAAAGAGAAACAGCCTCCCCAGTGTAACACTAATAGAGAGGGAGTAGACAGAGTGGAAATGAGTGACTGGAGGAAGTTTTCACAAAAGAAGTGGAATTCTAGGCATTACAGGAATGATGAGGGCAGGGGGTTAAGTGACATCATGTTTTAGAACCTAGCCAAAATCTGGGATGAAGTCCTTCTCCAGGACAAGCTCACTACTGAGAATTTTCAGAAAGCAATGATGTGGGGGTTTCAGGACATCTGGATATATAGAGGTCAATGGATTATTTTACTATTTGTTTTTTATAATGGCAGCTAAAACAATGCTAACCGCAATCAGGTATCAGCCATATTGTTTTTAGCTCTTTGTCTATAAGTTGTTCTTTTTTCCCCCTAAAATCTGAGCAGTTCAGGACCCTCACTTCCTTAGCTCATGACCCGTAACTCCACTCTGGCACAAACATACAACCATGTGCTCTGGGCCCTTTTATCAACTCGGCTGTAGCAGAAATGTTGGTCCAAGATAACGTTGAATTGCAATTTCCTTATCTCACTAAAGATAGGTTCAAAGGGCAAGCTGTCTCTGATAGAAACGTTAAAACAACAAGCAAGCATAATTTCTAGACAAAGAGCAAATTCCCACAGAAATAAGAAAAATAATATACACTGTTCTTTATGCAACATAAGTAAAATTTGTCTTCCAGGAAGAGAAATGCAGATCCTGGTATTACTATGTAGTAAGTCATCTGCAAATTTAATCTCTTGTTTAAGAGACAGGAAAAAATAATCCCTCATTATACGGTGAGTCTGAGGGCTCTAGGGGCTGGAAATGGGGACGTTGCCAAGATTCTCCCAGAACATACTCATTGGGGCTGGCAATACTTTTCATCAGTGCTCTGAAGAGCAAGGCCCCAGCAGGCCTCTAAAGCCTAATATGGCTGTACTTGAGCCAGGCTGGGCCTCCTTGGCTTGTCTCTGAAGCATCTGGGTTTTCGTTTCTTATCTTCCGTCTTCAACAGCAATGCTCCACACTGATGAGAAGAATAAGGTCAGCCTTGCGTTTATACAAACTCAAGTGGTTTTCCAGAAAATATGGATCTTAACAGTTTCCTTGGTCAGTTATCTGAGACCCAGTTGTGGAAATGGTTGTTCTCTGAGAATAAAGTCTTCATTACATAGTCCTTGGGTCAATTCTGAGAACTCCTGGTGGGGGCTTTCAAACAACTGGGGGAAAAACTGGCTTTGACCCACACAAATGCACAAGGAACTCTCCTATCCAGCGCTGCCCGGGTAGCTCAGAAAGGAACACCATTTTCCTTGGCTGAGAATAGTACTGAATAAAGGAGGTCCTCTCTCTGGGCTCAGGACTGCTTAGTGGCAATACCTAAAAGTCAAGACTTTGTCTTTCTTTACCCATGACATTAGAAACAGAGAACACTGTTGTTTCCCCAAAAATGAAAATGTAAAACGGGCTTGATTATAGCATATTCAAGAGAAGTGTGTTTGCACAATTACCAACATCAGTAACACCTTGGCTTACACTTTCGGTCTTCCGATGTCATGCATAACCCAGACCTCAATTCGTGTGATTTTATCCTTCTGGAAATAGGGAATTTCAAAATCTGCAAAAAAACTGAGAAGGAGGAAAGACATTTTTTTAAAAAGATTTTTATTTATTTATTTACTGAGAAAGCGAGAGAGAGTGCAAGCATGCAAGCAGGGGGAGGGGCAAAGGAAGAGGGAGAGAGAGAATCTCAAGCAGACTCCACGCTGAGTGGGGAGCCAGATGCTGGACTCGATCTCACGACCCTGAGATCATGACCTGAGCTGAAATCAAGAGTTGGACGCTTGGGGCGCCTGGGTGGCTCATTTGTTAAGAGTCTGCCTTTGGCTCAGGTCATGGTCCCAGGGTCCTGGGATGGAGCCCCACGTCAGGCTCCCTGCTCAGCGGGAAGCCTGCTTCTCCCTCTCCCACTCCCCTTACTTGTGTTCCCTCTCTCGCTGTGTCTCTCTCTGTCAAATAAATAAATAAAATCTTTAAAAAAAAAAAGAGTTGGACGCTTAACTGACTGAGCCACCCAGGTGCCCCAACATTTCTTAAAGTCCTAAAGCAATAGGATACTTTTCCCATTTCACTGTTAGTTGATTTACACATTACTTTTGTCCAGAAGCTTTCAGGGTGTTCTGTGGGGGTATTTTTGGCTTTTATTTTTAGGTTATTTATTTCATTCGTGCATTCATCAGCTATTAATGGCAGAGATGTATAGACATGGCTCTGACCTCCAGTCATTCAATTGTCTTTGCTTTACCTGAACTTACAAAAGGAAGCCTTATGCTGGTGATTAAGACAGTTTTCTTAAGCTTCCATTTGAAAAAACTAAATAAACAACTTGGCGTTCTTTGTTGTATTTGTTGATGCTGGTGTTCTTACCCTTTAACAGGATAGGCTCCTGATGGCGTTGAACCATTCAGCATGACATAGATCACCCCAGAACTGTCCTTTGAATACTGTAAGAAGAAACAAGTATTTTGATTAAATTAACACATGTCATTTTTCAGCTATGAAATGAGCAATTTTTTTAAATTGACATTCCTCAGTGTGAGCAAGGATGTACTAAATTTGATATTTCATACAGCTGGTAGGGATGCAAATGGCATCTCTTGGAAAGCAAATTGCTTTGAAATGTCAAAAACTCATAGACTCTGTGATCCCGTGGCTGGGAATCTACTCGGAAAACCATGTGAAATGATCAGCTGGAATACACTAAAGTATGCTGCCAAACAACCTCAAAATCACAGTGGCTTTAAACAACAAAGATTTATTTCATGCTCACTCTACATCTTTATCACAAGTCCACTGGCGTTTTGTCCCCTATGTCCTCGCTCTGGGACATAAGCTGATCAAGAGTCCATATCTGCAAAGTCATTGATTGTCAGGGAAGGGAGAAGGGGACAGTGGTAAATCACAGACCAGTTCTGAGACATTTCCACCCAGAAATCATACACACTCCCTCTCACATCTCATTGGCAAGTCACAAGAAGCCACAAGCAAGTAACGTCAACAGGGCAGGGGAATGCAAACCATGTATGCAGAAGATGAACCAGACATTTTGGAAACAGCTCTAAGGACCATCACAAGCATTGTGCACAAAGGTGTGTACTGCAGCATTGTTTGTAAGCCATCTAAAATAGTCAACAACAAAGGAATGGCAAGTAACTGATAGTACTTAAGTGTCTGAAATATTAGCCTGCCATTAATAAAACTGTGCAAAAGATTTGCAAACACAGAGGAAGTATGTGTATGTAAAGCAAAGTGCAATATTAGGAAGATAAAGCAGGAGCTCTACTATGCTAAAAATAATTGGACAAAAGTCTGGGAATTTTAGTTCCCCCCAAAATTCCCAAGGAAGAGATAGGTCCAGTGAAGTTCCCAAATCTCCACTTCAGAATACTACCAGAACATACAATTTCCCTGATAAAAGGTTGATACTGGAGTGAGGTGGGGGGCTTGGAAGGCAGGTGGCACCGAGAGAGCCATGACTGGACTTAGTGATGCCCAATACCAGCGGCAGCAAAGCAACAATACACTTGAGACGTGCGTGTCATGCACGTCTCAGGGTTCCAATAGTCCATGCTAATGGTCATGGTCAAATCCACAAATGCCAAGGTCTGATGACCATAATGCTGAAGGGGTTGCCTTCAGACAGCAGGTATATACATGATTAATTTTCTTATTTGTATTTTCTATTATTTGTCACTTTTTTATCCTGAGCAGCTATTACATTGGTAAGAAAAAAAAAATGAAATAAAAAATGCATGCAGATACAATGAGGCTATATGATGTAGTGGTTGAAAAATTTGTTCTCTGGCTCCTCCACTTATTAGCTCTGGAATAAGGCTGCTTAATAAGTTGAATAGAAAGAAAATACATAAATAAAAAAAATAAGGCTGCTTAAGTTTCTTGATCTCTTTATGCCTCATTTTTCCTATCTGTAAAACAGGGGTCATAAGGGTCCCTGACCTCATAGGATTGTTATAAAGATTAAATCATTTAAAATAATAATTACTGGGACACCTGGGTAGCTCAGTTGGTTAAGCATCCGACTCTTGGTTTCAGCTCAGGTCATGATCTCAGGGTCGTGGGATCGAGCCCCGTGCCAGGCTCCCGGTGCTCAGTACAGAGTCTGCTTGAGATTCTCTCCCTCTGCCCCCACCCCCACTTGCATGCATGCTCTCTCTCTCTCTCTCTTTCTCTCTAAAATAAATACATTTTAAAAATCTTTTGGGGTGCCTGGGTGGCTCAGTCGTTAAGCATCTGCCTTCAGCTCAGGTCATGATCCCAGGGTCCTGGGATAGAGCCCCGCATAGGGCTCCCTGCTCCACGGGGCGCCGGCTTCTCCCTCTCCCGCTCTCCCTGCTTATGTTTCCTCTCTCGCTGTGTCTCTCTCTGTCAAATAAATAAATAAAATCTTTAAAAAAAATACAAAATAAAAATAAAAATCTTTTAAAAATAAATAAAAATAAAATAAAACAAAATAATAATTATCAACATGTACTGAATACTTTTCTGCTACAATTCCGACCCTCTCCTCATCACATACTCAACTACCTCTCCTTGTGCATAGACTATCCAGCACATTCTGAGGGCTCATAAAATGTGGGCATGATTCTTAGCTCCTTGATGAGAGTGTTGCTATTGCCTCTGAGTTGCAGCTATGATCCCACATTCAGGTGATGATGCCCCCGTAGCCTCCATGAGGGGCTCTGGCAGCCTGGCGCTCACTGAGTGGAGTCTCCACTGGAAACAGAGCCAACGGGTAGTGAGCATAAATGCGGTGCTCCCACGGGATCAGCAGGAGAGCTCAGCAATAAACAATGCCTTTTGCCTGGAGCCGGCCCTCTGTCGGGCTCCAAACCACAGCGTGAAGGAGGATTTAACCAAAGTAATCTCACTCTGATCAACAAGGGACCCAGTGGACACCCAGGGATCCAGGATGGGACAAAAAGGGACATGGACAGCCCTGAGAGGGAGCTGCTGGTGGTGGGTGGCAGGACCCTGAAGTCCACTGGCCTCCGAGTCAATACAGCTAACATTTAATAGACTGTCATCATCTCTGGTGGCAGTATTCTCTGAGGAACAGACCTTCGGTAAGGGGCCATTTCTGTGTGTCCAGTTTATCCTCCCCTCGCCTGTCACCTACCACCTCCTATCACCTCCTCTATGATGAATAGCAGGTTTGGGGACATTTCTGACCCCGACAGCTGGATCTCAGGTGTCCCAAGGTCTCACATAAAACAGGGGCCGCCCCATTTTACATAACAATCAAAATCACATTGATTCGAAATACTAAGAGCAGCCACAACACTATAGTAATAGCGACTATTTAATATCCTCATCTATACCAACATTCACTGAATGTGTTTGCTTGCTGTGCTAAGTATTTAGGCTCCTTAAGTCCTCACATCTTTATGGAGCAGACAGAGTGAATCAGAATGTGGCGAAGGTGGACACAAAGAGAGGCTCAGAGACATTAAGTCATGACCCGATGGCCCCGTCTCTGAACCCCTCTGTCTTATGTTCATGGGTCCCACCTGTGCTAGCCTCCCAGCCGGCCTTCCCAAGCTCACCTGCATAGACGCCCTTTTCCAGAAAGAATCCACGGGGTTGTTTTCACAATCTTCTGATGTAGGGCAGGACTGGTAATCGAGTCCTAAGGGGAAAATAGACGGACATTGTTTCATTTCAAACATTGTATCAGAGAAGAATTGATTTAAAACATTCGCTGACTCCACAAAATCTATTTAGCCTGTGTTTACAAGTTTGATGTTCACAGTTCTGCCTACCTGACCCACAAAGAACCCAATCTGTGATAGGAAGACAGGTGTCATTCTGCTTTGCACAGATGTGAGGAAGGCAGAGACCCAAGCAGTTGGCTGCCGACCGCCAAGCATCAGCATGTTAGCTCGGCTTTTTCTTTACTGAGGGTCCAGTGAAGTGATTTAAAAAAAAAAAAAGTCTTTGCTCTGTTGAGTGAAGTGCCTTCTCCAGTTAGACCCAGTCTTAGAAGTAAATACAACAAAACACCAAGACAGTGATAGTCTTTAGCCAGAAAACAGAAATTTTATGACATTTAAAATATATAAAGTGTTAAAAGGTATTACATTTTAAAAATTCTAATGACAGGGGTGCCTGGGTGGCTCAGTCGGTTAAGCGTCTGCCTTTGGCTCAGGTCATGATCTCAAGGTCCTAGGATCAAGCCCTACATCAGGCTCGCTGCTCAGTGGGGAACCTGCTTCTCCCTCTCCCTCTGCAGCTCCCCCTGCTTGTGTGCTGTCTCTCTCAAATAAATAAAATCTTTAGTAAATAAATAAATATAAAATTAAAATTCTAATGACAGAATTCAGCAGGCATATAATGGGATTGCTCCTCCATTTACTCTATAAAAAAGGAGAAAGTACTCATTAACAAGTCCTTCCAGAGAGAACCAAACAGGGCAAAATGTGTACTTCTGAAGGGAAATATGGGGAGTTTCCATGCCCCCTCAGGGCCCATCACTCTCCCACCTTCCCAGTGTTCACCAACTCAGAGGCCCTCTGAACCCCACCCCGTAGGGGTTTTACGAGATTTCATTAGGCAGACATGATTGATTAAATCATGGCTTTGGTGATTAACTCAATCTCCAGCCCCTCTTTCCTTCCTGGAGGACAGGGATGGGGCCAAAAGCTCACAGGCTCCAATACGGTTTTCCTTGGCCTTTCTGGTGACCAGACCCCATGTGAAGCTATCTAGGAACCCCCAGCCACTAGTCATGTCATTATCACCCAAAAGACATTCTTATTACTCTTCATATTCCCAGGGTCTTAGGAGCTGTGTGCCAGGACCTGGGGACAACAACCGAATATTTGTGATTATACCATACTCTCCCTTCCTTCACATTCTTTTTCTCACACTCCACACGTCCCTGCTGCAGGATAATCAAACAGATTTCCCAGTCACTGTCTATTGGATGAACGGCCACGTCCATTGACCCGGACCCTGAAATTTTCCCATTTCCCTCCCAGTGAAAGCCCTGTGCCGTCTGGCCCTCCTTTATTCCTCTAGCCTCATCGCCTACTACTTTGCTCTTTACTTGCTGCAGTCCTTGCTGTTCCTTAAATATTCCAGACATACTTCCACCTCAAGGCCTTTGCACTGGCTGTTCCCTCTCTCAGGAAATTCTCTTCCTCAACTCCGTCAGATCTTTGCTCAAATAGCTGCTCAGCAAGGCTTTCTCTGGACACTAATGTAAACCTGCAACACTGTCCTCCCTCTTCCTTCCCCTCCCAGCACTTCGTACCTCTTTCCTGTTTTGTTTCTCTCTGTAGCCCATGGAATCTTTTTTTTTTTTAAAGATTTTATTTATTTATTTGAGAGAGAGAATGAGAGACAGAGAGCATGAGAGGGAGGAGGGTCAGAGGGAGAAGCAGACTCCCTGCCGAGCAGAGAGCCTGATGCGGGACTCGATCCCGGGACTCCAGGATCATGACCTGAGCCGAAGGCAGTCGCTTAACCAACTGAGCCACCCAGGCGCCCCTGTAGCCCATGGAATCTCGGGGCAGACTGTTTGACTCGCCTGTGTCTTGTCTTATCTCCCCATCTGTAATATAAGGATGGGGTATTATTTTCCTGTTTTATTCTCTGCTGTGTTCCCGCTGCCTAGAGGCACAGAGTAGGCACTTGTAGTTGGATAAATGAATGAATGGAGGAGAATACACAGAAATGACCTTAGGCTAACTTTTAAAGTGATTCCAATACCCAGGCAGGGAGAATCTGCAGTTTTCATGAACGGAATACCTCCTCCTACCTCCTCTCCTGCTCACCCTTCAAGACTAATTGAGAACCAAGAGCTGCTGGGAAGCTTCCCAGATACCCCGGTCTGGGCTGGTGTCTGTGTTACTGCTCGGGACCTGGACTTTCCTGCATCAGAGCACAGCACGGGAGGAAATGCCCCTCACAAAGCTGTAAGCCCTCCAAGGATGTCAACTGCGCTAGCTCCAGCTCTCAGAAGGATCTGGATGCATGAGGAGAGTTTTTATTACCACCAGGCCAGCCCTGGTGACTTTCACTGTGATTTTAATTGCAAAGTATCTTCTGGTATTTGGAGTGGCATTTAAGAGCAAAGGCTTCAGAATTCATCAGAAGAGGATTAACTCCTGGCTCAACTCCATCAAGTGATTTAACCTCCCTAAACTTCAGTTTCCTCTTCTGGAACAGGAGAATCGTGAGGCCGGGTTGGGCAGGGCTGGGAGCACGTGCTCTAGAGTCAGACAGTCTGACTCTGGCGCCTCCTAGCTGTTCACTCCTCAGGAAGTTTCTTAACCTTGCCATGCCTCAGTTTCCTGATTTATCACAACAGAGATTAGGAGAGGACCTATCCCTTGGGGCTGCTGCAGAGATTAAATTAGTTAATATGTATCAGTATATGCTTAAAGAGTACCCAGCAAAAGATAAGTGCTTTCTCTCTATCATTGTCAGCATCAATTATTATTACTACCACCTACCTCAGAGTATTTGGGGGGAATCAAATGAGACAAATGCGTAGGAAAGCATTTAGCACAAATGACAAATGCAGAGTATCAACTTAACTAGGAGCTCTCACTTTCCCTGTGATTTGTCCGGGAGTCTTACCGGAGGCATTTTCCTGTCGACACCAGCTCAGAAAATCGCCAATCGTCCCATACAGAACATTGCACAGAGGTACCAAGCGACGGGCATTCTCTGAATAGCTAGTGACAAGGAGGTGGTTGTCTTCCCAGAACAGGGACTAAGGAAAAACAAACACAAAAGTAACATGAAAATGAAATCAAAGCAGATTTTTTTTCAGTCAGGCAGTCCATATTTATTCAACTCTGACTTCTCTGACAACAACTGAACTTTCTTTTTCTTTGTCTTTGCTTACCCATTCAGAGAGTGCCATGATCTCTCCTCCCATCGTTCCAAGGGTCATGCACAGGTTAACAAAGTACTTTCTCAGTAATAAATATATATATTTATCCCTAGATTTAAAAAGAGATCAAAGGACCTGGGTTCGAATCCTCACTCTGTCATACACTAGATGTGTGATCTTGAGCAAGCCATGTCATAGCCCTGTGCCTCAGTTTCCACATCTGGAAAATGGGGAGCATGAGCCCTTTTTCTTCTTCCACAGCTGTGTTCAGGAGGATATGTCACCACAAAAAGCACTTTGGGGAGTGTAAAATGCCTCAGAAATATGTTACTTTTATACTGTATTTTACAGTTTCCACTATAATGCTACAGTGTTTTCACATAACAGTAAATATAAATAACAATATCCCTCCCATGATCTCATCAGACCCTCAGTAGTCCAACTGGGCTATGCCTAGACTGGAAGCTTCCCGAGGGTCAGGGCTGTTTTGTTCCCCATTGCAAGCATCCTCAAGCCTTAGCACAAGGTCCAACACGTGGAAGTAATTATTTACTGAGTTCATCAACTAGCACCAAAATCTATGAAAGAAGAGAACAACATTTAGGGTTCCTCTTTTTACTGGCAGGAGGCAGCAAGTTGCAAAATGCAAAATATCCTTAAAAATCATTATTTTCAATCTATTGTATCTCTGAATCTTCCAGCTCCATTTACAAATTTAAAACAACAATGTTAAGATTTTTTCATTTGGGGGCACCTGGGTGGCTCAGTCGTTAAGCATCTGCCTTTGGCTCAGGTCACGATCCCAGGGTCCTGGGATCGAGCCCCGCATCGGGCTCCCTGCTCGGCAGGAAGCCTGCTTGTCCCTCTCCCACTCCCCCTGCTTGTGTTCCCTCTCTCGCTGTGTCTCTCTGTCAAATAAATAAAAATAAAATCTTTAAAAAAAAAAAAAGATTTTTTCGTTTGCAAACATCAATGTTACCTGATTTCACAATGAAAAATCGGGTTAAGAATTATGTTGTCAAGAAACAAAACAAACCATCTGACTTTCTTTAAACTCAAGGTATTGTTCTAAGCAAACATTTTATGTAGATTTTCTCATTTGTTTTCATTTTATTAGAACTCAGAACAAAGATATGTAGTTTGCTTAAAGAAACTGGTACTGAATAGACAGAACCTTCAGGTCCCTTAAAAGGAGGGATTGGTCTTCTGGGAAGATACTGAGGTTAAGGCTCTTCTGAGTCACTCAAAAGTTCAGGTCTTTGGGGCCAGTTAGGACACAGATTATTCAGAATTGGCTAGGGACAGAGGCCCAGGGGAAAGGTGTGGCAAGGTCCTAACATAGTGATTCCCCACACAAGACTTGTTGATTTAGGAAAGTTCCTTCTGCCCAGACAGGCAGGAGACCCAGAATTACCACTGAAGACAAAGATGCCTTCCCACCAGAGAACTCAGGTGAGTTTGCTGCTTGATTTTTTGGGGAGACTGAAACAGGTGCCCGCAGGGTCGCAGACACCTGGCCCACGCACCATCTATCTCTATAGAGACGGAGAGGAATGTTTTACCTTGTCTCTGGGAATGGAATGTCTGGAGAGGTTAATAAGAAGGTCGTAGTCGGAGGGAAATACGGAACAGGGATCCTTGTCCAGCACCACTTTAAAGGCTTCCCAGATAGCTGTGCAGTTCTTGTCCCTGTGCAGCGGCATACATTAAAAAAAGAAAACCAGGGCGCCTGGGTGGCTCAGTTGGTTAAGCGACTGCCTTCGGCTCAGGTCATGATCCTGGAGTCCCGGGATCGAGTCCCGCATCGGGCTCCCTGCTCGGCGGGGAGTCTGCTTCTCCCTCTGACCCTCCCCCCTCTCATGCTATCTCTATGTCATTCTCTCTCTCAAATAAATAAATAAAATCTTTAAAAAAAAAAAAGAAAGAAAGAAAGAAAACCAAACCACATCATGAGATGTTGTGAATTACGGCCATTTCTTTCTAAGTACTCCCAACAGCTTCCCGCGCAATTTTGCCATTTATCAACTCTGCATAACGAGGCACAAAAAAGACAGCAAATTCTCCTGTCTCGTGCATTAACCCCCATTTAGAAGAGGAGAAGAAAAAACCTAGGTGATGGATTTGGAAATCTGACAGTGGAAATGGCTCTCAGATGGTACGACACACATTTTTCAGAGCTAAGGAACAGAGTCTTGTCCTGGGCTCCCAGAGATGAGTAGAAAAGGCACTTTCCTGGAGGATGACAATTCCAATAAACCAGGCAGGCTCCCGACTCCAGGGGCCTCTCCACTGAGACTTAAGGTCCACTTTCCCCGGGGCCACTTGTGGTCAGGCCAGTGGATGAGACCTTGTAAAACCAGGAATGAGAGCCGGGTGTTGAGAAAAGCTGTTTCGCCTCCTGCAAATGTTAGGGCTAAAGTTATCAGGGACCACAGTGAGAAGTTAAAAGGAATACACTCTCTTGCTCTCCAGCACCTTCATTTGTCAGCCTCACAGGTCCTGTAGAACCGCCCTCTTCCTGGGAAATGCCCAAAGTTACTCAAGAGTGCAGCAGACGTTCTTGGGAAATTACGGAGTTAAGCAATCCCCTTGAATGCCATGCTCAAAAGATTATAAAAGTTTTACTAAGTTCCCGTGGCCAGCTTCTTATTTGTAGGGACCAACTGACCCAAATGTTGCTGGCTGTCAACCTGGAGCCCCCATCTGTGTTAGAGGAGTCAGTGCTTTAAGAACTATCTCCCTGTCGGACGCCTGGGTGGCTCAGTCGGTTAAGCGTCTGCCTTCAGCTCAGGTCATGATCCCAGGGTCCTGGGATCGAGTCCCGCATCGGGCTCCTTGTTCCGCGGAGAGCCTGCTTCTCCCTCTGCCTCTCTCTCTCTATCGCTCATGAATAAATAAATAAAATCTTAAAAAAAAAAAAAGAACTATCTCCCTGTCTCCGTACTTGCTGAAAGTAGTAAAAACCATTTGCTCGTGCCAAAAGATTTGGGCTGATCTATTCGAGGACGCACCTCACGCTGTCACCCTTTGCGTTAGGTGACACTAAGGCAGACAGGACGCCCTCCGGTGACAGCCACAACTCTTCAAGTCCATCCTAGCTTTCCAAAAACATTTCCCAAGGCATTTGTAACTGTTTATTTCTTGTGTGGGGCAGTGGGTAATATGGGCGTTCCTTGTATTATTCTCTGCTTTTTATTTGTCTGAAATGAATCAGAAAGAAAAAAAAAACTGGCACAAGAAAAAAACATTATGAAAACAGAAAAAGTAGGTCCAAAGAAGGAACAAAAATTAGTAAGAAGCACTGTGCTGGCAAGAGAGACTCAAACTCATAAAGTTCTCTAGGTTTCAGAGGATCTGAAATTTGAATTCCCCAAGTCCCTGGATTCACCAGTTTCTAGGTCGGCCTTCCTGGGTCTGACCATTCTGGCTAAGCATATACTTGCTGGCTGTCATCCAAACTCACCTCTACCTAATCCTTGCCTCTAGGTTGACGGCCCACAGCCTCCTTCACTTACACACACACACACTCCTCACCCCTAGACTTCTCACCCTCTGCACTTGGCCCCCCCCGACTTTTAGAAGCCCCACCTTCCGGGGCGCCTGGGTGGCTCGGTTAAGCGACTGCCTTCGGCTCAGGTCATGATCCTGGAGTCCAGGGATCGAGTCCCGCATCGGGCTCCCTGCTCAGCGGGGAGTCTGCTTCTCCCTCTGACCTTCCCCCCTCTCGTGCTCTATCTCATTCTCTCTCTCAAATAAATAAATAAAATCTTTAAAAAAAAAAAAGATTTGGGGCGCCTGGGTGGCTCAGTTGGTTAAGCGACTGCCTCCGGCTCAGGTCATGATCCTGGAGTCCTGGGATCGAGTCCCACATCGGGCTCCCTGCTTGGCAGGGAGTCTGTTCTCCCTCTGACCCTCCCCCCTCTCGTGCTCTCTTTCTCATTCTCTGTCTCAAATAAATAAATACAATCTTAAAAAAAAAAAAAAAGAAGAAGCCCCACCTTCCCCCGCGCACCCCTCTCGGGTCGAGATCCTCCACCCCCACACACCCCTACCCCTCGGCCTCCATCCGCCCTCCCGACACCCTCCTCCCTTCTAGACCTCCCCGCTTCCCCCGCCCAGCTCACCGCTGGTCCGGATTCAGGAGGGCCACGTACTCCGCGCATCGGCCCAGGATGATGCTCTGTAGGTGCGGTGTGGTGCCCTCCCCGCGCCACCGGGCGCCCGCAGCGCCCGCAGCGCCCGCGACCACTAGCAGCAGGAGCAGCTGAGAAGGCGTGAGCCCCTGGGCTGTCATCGCTGGCGACTTTGTCCCTACAGGTCCGTGCCTTCTGACTCACTTCTCATCCCGCACTGAGGCGACTCCCTCCAGAGGCGCTGCGCAGTCCGGCACTCCAGCACCACCCCCTGGCTTTCTGCCTCTGCTCCTGCTTCAGTTCCAAGATTGGGACTTCACTGGCGATAGGATTCTGGCTCTTGGCTTTGTTGTTGTTGTTGTTAAGATTTTATTTTTAGGTAATCTCTGTAGAGATTACTTGGGTGTACCAAGGTGGGGCTCGGATTTACAACCCGGAGATCAACAGGCCGCATGATCCAAGGACTGAGACGTTTTTGGTTTTGTTTTGATTGAAGTATAATTATCACCCAGTGTTGTACAGTTTCAGGTGTACAACGTAGTGATTGGACGGTTCTATACATTCCTCAGCGCTCACCATCTGTCACCATAGGTTATTATATTATTGACTATATTTCCTATGCTGTACTTTTCATCTCCGTGACTTATTTTATAACTTATTTATTTTATGTACCTTTTAATCCTCTTCAGTTATCTCACCCATCCCCCACCCACCTACACCCGGCAACCACCGGTTTGACAAACTAACAAACAAAAAACCTAGCTCTTGGCTAATATTGGCCAGAGTCCAGGAGGAAGGAGTCCCCACAGAGGTGAAGCTGGGCGGAAAGTTTAGTCATCAAAAGAAAGATTTTTCTGGCCCCAAACGGACACCTTTGACAGATGGCCTCTTTTCCACCCAAGATGAGTGGGTTTTGTTTTCAGGAAGTAATAACCACAAAACCTAATATTTATTGAGCTGCTATTATGTGCCAAACACTCCATAAGCAGTAGTCAATTACTTTTTATAACATCCTCCCAGTTGGGTTTATCATCCCCATTTTACGGATGAGGAAATTTGGGGAAGTTAAGTAACTTGTCAGAGGTCATAATCTCCCTTCCAGATAGATGCAAAATCCTGGAGTCAGTTCAGAGAGCCAGGGACACCAGAATTGCGCTTGGAATTCTGGAGGCCCTTATCCTCAATTCTCACAGTAATGATAGCTGTGAACTCTGAGTGCCGCAGGGCAAGCATTTGATAAACACAGGAAGCTGGCAAGATGTGGGGGTTGGTGGGTTCTATAACATTTTATGTGAATCTTTCTCTTTTTATTTTTAAAGTTTATAACCCAGACCCAGTCTCCTGTCCAGCCCTCCCTGACTCAGTCCACTTTCCAGATTAAGCATTTTTGTTTCAAAAGTTTTTTCTATTTACTTCCATGTTTGCAAATAACATGCCTATATGCTGTTTTCTTGATGTTTCCTTCTTAGATTCTATTCTTTGACTTCCTAGGATGGAAAAGGAAATTTTATATTTAACCTCACACATCCTCAAAAGGCATCCTTCTGTGCCTTTCGTCATCCTTAGTATTTTATCTCAAGCTTTAGATCAGTAACAGTATTTACATTATTATTGATGGGGTTTTGGAATATAGGTGAGGTTCAGTGGGGTGGAGTCCAGAGTCGAGGACTAAGAAAGAATTCTTGAGACATCTTTGGTGCAAAATGGTGGTTTATTAAACCACGGGGACAGGACCCAGGGGCAGAAAGAGCTGCTGCCCCAGGGTTGTGAGGTTGTGAGGGGTGGCTGATTATGTACTATGGGGTGGAGGAGCTGAGGAAAAAGGGAGGTTTCTGAAAGAACTTTCAGATGCTAAAGAAGACTCACAGGAACCAGAGGCCTTGCCATTGTCAAGTTAAGGTTGTTTACCCCTCTAGTAAGGCATTAACATTAAGATAGTAGGGAACTGGGGCACCTGGGTGGCTCAGCTGTTGGGCGTCTGCCTTCAGCTCAGGTCATGATCCCAGGGTCCTGGGATCAAGCCCCGCAACATCGGGCTCCCTCTCAGTGGGAGGCCTGCTTCTCCCTCTCCCACTCCCCGTGCTTGCGTTCCCTCTCTCGCTGTGTCTCTGTCAAATAAATAAATAAAATCTTAAAAAAAAAAAAAAAAAGAATGCATTTCTTAAAAAAAAAAAAAAGGCGGGAACTTCCTGGAGGAACATTACACTCTGCCCACTTCAAGTATGTCAAAGGGCTGCAGGTTATAAAGACATTTTTTTTTTTATATATTTATTTGAGAGAGAGAATGAGAGATAGCACGAGAGGGAAGAGGGTCAGAGGGAGAAGCAGACCCCCCGCGGAGCAGGGAGCCCGATGCAGGACTCGATTCGGGGACTCGATTCCGGGACTCCAGGACCATGACCCGAGCCGAAGGCAGTCGCTTAACCAACTGAGCCACCCAGGCGCCCGGTTATAAAGACATTTAATTTTATTTACATTCCCTTCTGGAAGCTATTGCTAAGGCTTTTCTAAGTAAACTGAGGAAGACTCAGGTCTTGCAGGATTGTGATCTGTATAAGTTAACTATTTGTTTTTCCTTTAGGACAGCCCGGAGTGCCTTAGGAATGTCACATATATCCCATGGGGGGGGGTTGGGGGGTGTCAGCTTCTGCTTTGTCCTCAGCTTGCCTTCTGTTCCCTCATCAGTTATGGCCTGTGAATATTATTCATGACTGAGCTTGTGGTATTCTATGTTTCCTTTCTTGTAAACTTATTGCTTACCCTAGAGGTAATAATTAATCTCCCTCTCTCTCTTCCCCCCTTTCTTTATCACCACCTCCCCAGGCTTATTTGTTTGTGTGCTTGGTATTATAAGTACACTTATGATTATGGTCAAATTCTCTGCAACACATGTGAATTTCCCAAAGCATCAGCCTGTATTTTAGGTGGTTTGATTTCTTTCTTTTTCTCTCTTCCTCCCTTTCCTTCCTTCCTTTCTCTCTCCCTCCCTCTCTTTTTTTCTTTCTCTTTCATTTCTTGGAAACACCCTTCCTAGAGCTGTCAGCACAATGAATGGAAACTAATTATTAGAATACCAAGCACACAAACAAATAAGCTTGGGGAGAGAAGGGGGTTGAGGTAGGGGAGACAATTATTACCTCTGGGTAAGCAAGAAGTTTACAGGAAAGGAAACAATCATGGAATACTGTAAGATCAGCCATGAGTAATATTCACAGGTCATAATAATATGAATGCTGATTACGGATTTAAAGCTTGTATCTAAAAAATAGAACTCAACAACTCAAAAATAAGAAGAAAAGCAACACAAATTTTAAAATGGGCTAAATAGTTGAATAGATACCTCACCAAAGAAGATACGTCCACTACAAGGTATTTACCAAGAAAAAGATGAGAACATCTCTACCGGGGTGCCTGGGTGGCTCAGGTGGCTTAGCATCTGGCTTTGGCTCAGGTCATGATCCAGAGTTCCTGGGATGGAGTCCCTGCATGCAGCTCTCGGCTCATCGGGGAGCCTGCTTCTCCCTCTCCCTCTGCCACTTCCCCTGATTGTGTGCTCTCTTTCTCTCTCTCAAATAAATAAAAGCATAAAAAAAAAAAAAAGAAAACGTGTCTACTCGAAGACTTATATATGAAACGTTCATTGAACTTAATCCGTAATAGCCCTAAACTAAACAATGTAAATGTCTAACAAGAAAAGAATAAACAAATTGTGATCTAGTCATACAATGGAAAACCACTCAGCAATACAAAGGCATGAACTACTGATACACTGAAGCATCTAAACGTATATATACTGAGTGAAAGAAGCTACAGGTAAAAAAAAGGCATATTTTATTATTCCCCTTATAGGAAGTTCCAGGAGGCATAGGATGCTGACATATATAGATCTGGGGGAAAGAAATTTCAGATGGTGCCAATTGCTTGAGCAAAGGCAGAATAATGGGAAAGCATGGGGCTCCTCCTGGAAAAGATAAAAAATTAGTTTGATTGGTAATCAGAGTGCAGGTTGAGACTTTCCAGGAAAGCTAGGGTCATATCTCAAAGACCTTGAACTCAGTACTAATCTGGACATTGTTTTCTTGAACATTAAGAGCTTTCAATAATTCTGGACTTCCTTATTAAAGATTTTGTCTTAGGGGCGCCTGGGTGGCTCTGTTGGTTAAGCAGCTGCTTTCGGCTCCGGTCATGATCCCAGGGTCCTGGGATCGAGCCCCGTGTAGGGGCTCCTTGCTCAGCAGAGAGCCTGCTTCTCCCCTGCCTGCCGTTCCCCCTGCTTGTGCTTGCTGTCTGTCTCTCTCTATCTCAGTCTGGTTCTGTGTCAAATGAATAAATAAAATCTTAAAAAAAAATTTTTTTTTTTTGTCTTAGGGGCGCCTAGATGGCTCAGTCAGTTAAGTGTCTGCCTTTGGCTCAGGTCATGATCCCAGGGTCCTAGGATGGAGCCCCACATCGGGCTCCCTGCCCAGCGGGGAGCCTGCTTCTTTCTCCCTCTCCCTCTGCCCCTCCTCTGATTGCACACTCTCTGTCAAATAAATAAATAAATCCTTAAAAAATTTGTCTTAAAAAATAATAAAATTAAAAATAAATAAAGTTATCTCTTTTGTTGGTTGGCCTTCTTGGTTGCTAAAGGATGAAGAGAGATGAGGCATTTGAAGGTCTTAGAATAGGGGCACCTGGGTGGCTCAGTCAGTTAAGCCTTCAACTCTTGATCTCAGCTCAGGTCTTGATCTCAGGGTCACATGTTCAAGACCCACATTGGAGGTAGAGTTTACTTAAAAAAAAAAAAAAGTGTGACTCCAAATGTGGAGCCATAGTCCCAGAGAGTGCTCTCAGTCCAGAAGGCAGAGGCATGTGCCATATAAATTATCCCAAGGCTTTGAAACCTAGTGGAGTTTGCCTAGGTGGACCTCTGAAGGTGATTGGATGGTGACTCATTTTTGTCTCTCAGTTTCTCCCTTTTTGAATGGGAATGGTTGTGACTGTTACCTAGGTCTGTCCCACCACTGTATTTTTGAAACACGGAACTGACTTTCTAATTTCACAGGTTCACAGAGGATTTTGCCTCAGGATAGATTATACCCAGATCCTGTACCCACACCTACTTTAGGTGATTTAGATGTCAGATTTGAGCCTTGGGGCTGGTGAGACTTAGATGAGATTTTGAACTTGATGTTGTAATGGGCTGAGACTTTTGGTCACTTCAGGAGAGGTGAGTGTATTTCTCATGCAAGATTGGTATGAGTCTTTTTTTTTTAATTTTTTTTTTAAATTTATTTATGTGAGAGACAGAGAGCATGAGAGGGGGGAGGGTCAGAGGGAGAATCAGACTCCCCGCCGAGCAGGGAGCCCGATGCGGGACTCGATCCTGGGACTCCAGGATCATGACCTGAGCCGAAGGCAGTCGCTTAACCAACTGAGCCACCCAGGTGCCCAAGATTAGTATGAGTCTTTGTGAAGAGTGGCCTGTGATAGGTTGAGTCCTCTCTTCACTACCCAGATGTCCAGATCCGAATTCCTGAAACCTTGAATATGTTGCCTTACATAGTAAAAAGGATTTTGCACAAATGACATATACTGACAAAAGACACAAGATCTCTGGGTCAGACAATTTCTTACTCATAGCAAGAAACCCAGCCAGATCAGTATTGTTTGTCAGTTCCCCATACCCCAGTTCCCACAGCATGACATGGTAAGGGCCAGGTGTTACCTCTGCATCATGCAGTGGGTTGCACCACAGAAGACTAGGGTGTTATGGAGTTGCTGGTATTTGAAGAGGGGAAGAAGGCTTTATCTTTACTTCTCTGGGTGTCTCTAGCTTCATGATCCTAAACTGACTCCCTTTATAAACATCCTTAACTTGGATGCAAATACCTTCATTCATTAGATCCACACTGAGCAGACAAGTTAAATATTCATGGAGAATTGTTTTCCAACACTTTATTTCAAGCACAAAGAAAGCAAGAAAGCGGGGGGGGGGGGGGGGGGGGGAGTGATTACCTTCAACAGAATACAAAATATGGAAAATCAAGTATTACAATAATGCTAAGTGTGGTGGCTGATGGAAAAGAATTGCTAACCTTTATGATTTTAGAGAAAGCCCTTGCCAAAAGAAACATCACTTAAAAAAAAATCACTCATTGGAGTCAGTGAATACATAAAGGCAGAAGTTGAAATTAGTTTGAGAAAGACATATTAAGCAATTTAAGTTGCTTAATTATCAGCAACAATACGAGGAAGCTGTATCAACCAGTGCATATTCGGATACTTACAGAGGTTATCTAACAAAATCAGATTTTTAAAATGTAAAAAAGGCTTTGCCACACATTTAATAATTATTCCTGAGAATATGACCTCAAGTTCAGATGTTAGAGTCCATTATTTGTTAATCAAATGTATACTGAATACCCACTTACTATGTATCATACAAAATGGACATGAACTCTGCTCCTGTGGAGCACTCATCCTAAGGTGGCAGACTGACAGAACTAGTAATCAAATAATTAAAATATTACAAATGATATACTACAAAGAAATAAAGGGAATAATGGGGAAAAAAAACCTACGGTGGTTAGGAAAATCTTTAGGGAAGTAGCATTTACTTCAATTTATTCTCAAAATATCAGTCAGTGCGTCTATTTATTTATTTTTAAGTAATCTTTTCACCCAACGAGGGGTTCAAACTCACAACCCTGAGATCGAGAGTCAGATGCTTCATGGACTGGGCCAGTCAGGCACCCATGGAGTGAGTCTTTTTTTTTTTTTTTTAAGATTTTATTTATTTATTTTGAGAGAGAGAGAGTGCACGGGGGGGGGGGGGGGGAGTGCACACGCAGAGGCAGAGGGAAAGAGACTCTCAAGCAAACTCCATGAGGAGCACAGAGCCCAGTGTGGGGTTTGGTCTCACAACTCTTGAGATTACGACCTGAGCTGAAATCAAGAGTCGAATGCTTAACCGACTGAGCCACCCAGGCACTCCTGGAGTGTCTTTTAAGACCTAATTCAGTTAATGTATTTCCTCTGCATAACCCTTCAATTGCTCTCCATTTCACTGACAAAAACCCAGAGGTCCTATGATGGTCTACTGAGCCCCTCATGATTTGGTCCTCAAATAGTTTCCTGACCTTTCTTATTACTCTTTCTATAGCACTTATCTTTGAAATATTATAAGTCTTATTTATGGTCTCTCTCTCCCTGCTAGAACATAAGTTCCACTATAGAATGATCTTTGCTTTCTTCATTTTGTATCTCAAATGTCTCTAAAACAGTTCCTGGACTCTAAGAGAAGTTCACTGAATTTTTGTTCAATGAATGTAAAGTTACATTATGATTTTATTAATATTTAAATGTAACAAAAATAAAAACAAAGTTATCTCATACAATGCTATATTAACCTCTAAATACAACGTAGGAAAATGTCACAAAATAAGAAACACAAAAACAAAAACCAGGTAAGATTTATTTAATGTGATGGGTGTGCTTGCCTGTTCATAAGTTCATCCCAGTCTGGACCACAGGAGGACAAGGCTACCCGCATACCTGCCGCACCATTCAACCCATTTCTTTCCTTTGGTTTTAACTGGGTTAAGACTGAAAACCCTAGCTCACACAAGCTAGTTGTTGTGAATGGTAGTAATAGTGGGACACTCTTTCTACTTAGCAGAGGAAAGTCTTCCTTCACCTTAATCCAAAATGCTGATAAACTTAATGTTTCATAATCGCTCTTCAATGTATATGAAGAACTGAGCTGCAATAATTCACTCTCTTCTTCAGGCACCAAGTTTAACTCAATTATTGATTCTGGGTTTCGAAAAGCAAATGGGTCTTTTACCCAGCAATTTTCTCTTAATATTTTAAATTTCTCTTCTGAGAAGAAATGGTTAAAAGTTTGAGACAGAGAAGTGAGATGCAACAATATCTCTAATTTTATTTCTTTCAAAATGTTTTCACTAATAATATTCTCTTCAATATGTTGCAAAAATCTTGGAAACATGTAGTAGCTAGGACGGTTGCTTTTCAGCCTCGCTTGCCATAACAATAATGTCTTTCGGAATCCCTGGATACGTTCGACATGTTGGAATATATCACTATTTTTCCCCTGTAGTTTTAAACTCAGTTCATTAAGAATGCCAAAAATATCAGTTAAATATGCCAATTTCATTACCCAAATATCATCTTCAAAAATACTTGCCAAATGAGATTTTTTTTCAGTAAGAAAAATGTGAATCTCATTCCTGAGTTCATAAACCCTGCTTAGTATTTTCCCGTGAGACAACCAACGGACTTTGGTATGATATAGTAAGTGGGTATGATTAGTTCCAATCTCTGAACAAAATGTTTCAAGAAGCTGGTTATTTAGTGAGCTTCCTTTAATAAAGTTAACCACTTTCACTGCATTTTTCAATACTTCCATGAGATTCTGTGGGATTTCTCTGGATGCTAAAGCTTCACGATGTATAAAACAATGATTCCACACAGTACCATTATTAGTAACTTCTAGCAATTTTTTAATTACTCTGCTATGTTTTCCCGTTATGCTTGCTGCTCCATCACTTGTAATTCCTTTGCAGTTTTTCCAGTTTAATTTATATTGACCAACAATGCACTTTTCTAATTCTGTAAAAATATCTAATCCACTTAGATGTGAGGTTATATTTAAACAACACAAAAAATCCTCCATAAAATCATCTTGCCACGCATATCTGACATAAACTAAGATTGTTGTGCAGCTCCCCATATCAGTGCTTTCATCAAGCTGAATTGCAAAATCTATACCAGACTGCAACCGAGCTAGAAGCATTGTTTCTAAATGTTCCGCAATAGTACAAATGCGAAGAGATATTGTGTTATCACTAGATATCGTTTTCAATTTATCAGCTGATTTGTCATCAAAAATTGTACGTACCATATCCAAACATGCTGGAAGAATTATTTTTTCAGCAGCTGTGTGAGCCATTTTCTCTTTTGCTACCCGATATGCAACTAAGTATGATGATAATAAGGCTTTCTCACTAATGGCGGTAGAACCACCAAGAAATTGTGTTGACGACTTTACATCTTTTTTCTTTCTTTGAAAATATTCAAGAGGCTTACCAATAAGTTCAGCATGCTGAGTTTCTAAGTGTCTTTTTAATTTTGAAGGTTTTAAGCTTTCATTTGCAAGAATATTATTACAAATAACACACTGAGGTCGGTCATTTTCAAAGGGTTTTTCACATTTGATAAAACCATATTTTAAATAATCTTCATTGTAACGTCTTGCACTTACTTTTTTCTTTTTGAAATGTGTCTCAAACGAAGCTGAAGATTGCAAATCAGAGTCACTATTTTTCTCAGTATTGTCACTATTCACATTTCCAGATACAGCAGATGAACTTGAACATGCTTCTGCATATTTCACTTCATTTTTCCTCTTTCTTTTAAAAAAGATATGATCCATTTTAAAAGTAATTTTGATTAAAATGTTTTAACTGCCATTAACCAAAAAAAAAAAATATATATATATATATGTATACATATAAATATAGCCTAGATAACATCTTTCTAAAAATGCAGTTTGCAAATGCATCTCAGTTGAACATCTCAGAATTCACATCTAGTTGCAAGTCATGGTAACATAAAACTAGACTGCTCACCAACTTTATTATGAAAACCAAACAAGACACCAGTGGGCAAAGGATTGAAAAACCATGTCTTAAGTCAGTATACATTCTATTCATTATATGCCCTCCATTAATTATCTTTTCACATACTGAAATTGACCTTAGTATTTCTTGCAGCAAAATTCTTGCAGAGGAGTCAGGCAAAGCACCTGATACTTTCTATTTTATTTTGTTTTAAAAAATTTTTTGACTCACAGAACTGATTTCATGACCTACTGATGGGTCACACACAGAATGTGAAAAATATTGATACAGAGACATTTTCCTTTGCTGTGTTGAGCTTGAGTATGTCTGTTTGATGATCAAAGCAGCAAGCTAATGTGCTAGACTGTTGGCTGGTAGGAACTTTCTTGAAGTGGTAGGTATATACCTTATATTTTCATTCTTGACACTTTTTAATGGGAAGAGTTTTTAAGAATGCCAGTATGGTCTGACCCAGTGAGGATCCAAGGAGGCTTTTCATAGCTAGGTTAACTACCAGGTTGGACCTGATGATATATTTTTAGAACTTTCTTGGACTGCATCCTTGACCTGGGAATAAAAGCAGAGATATGACATTAAAGCTTTACAACACAGAGAGTATTATTGTCAGCTACAGCAACCTTCATGACATCCAAGATCATGAGTGCTGAAGCAAAAAGCCTAAAAGCTCTTCTCATCACTATGCTTTATCAGCTTAGGCCTATTTCTGTAAGGCAAATCACCTGAACCAAGATTGGTAAATAGAAAAAATGTCAGTAAAGCCTGGAAGTCAGCATCAGGAGTTGCAAAGTACACTTACAAAGCTGAATAAAGCAAGCCATGGAGGAATATAGTTCATTCACCATTACATACTTCCTCTTAGCTCAGTTTGGTTTTGTCCATCTTAGAAGTACAGGTATCCCCCACTTTCTAAAAGTTCGTGTTACACCATTTCACTTTTAGGACAGACCTATGTTAATACCTATTTTGCTAACTGAAAGAAATCCAAAGAGGATTTTCACTTTTACGAAAAAAGCCGTTACCGTACTAGTGTAGGTCTTCGGTAAAAGCGAAGTGGCATAACACAAACTTTCAGAAAGCAGGGGATTTCATAGGAATGCTCTACTTTTTGAAGGGGAAACCTGCACTTAATGCACTGCTCTCTTTGATCTTAGTGTATTTGGGTCTTAGCACTATAACACAGCACTTCCTTACACACCCTTCCATCAAGTTGTTTCACCTTTCTGGGGGGGCGGGTAAACCCTTATATTTACTGTAATGTTTATTAGAAATTCAATGACTTTGGGCACCAGGGTGGCTCAGTTGGTTGGGCATCTTGGCGCGAGCCAAGCTACTCATGCTGTTTGACAAGGTCCAAGTATGGGGGACGATCCTGAAAACAGGAGACTCCACAGCTGGCTCCTGCTATTCTCTTTCATTTTGTTTATGGCAATCTTTATAATTGTGGGAATATTTCTGGGGTTTCATGATAAAGTGACTACTCATCTTAGTTACGCCTATCTAAGCAATCATAATGAAACTAATTCCATGAAGAATTGGTTTCTATAGAACGATATAACAAGACGGTCACGCTCTGTCTAGCACCTTTCTCTTTGCGTACTGTTTTTTAGTTTTAGCAAAAGTCAATAAGCGGAGGGCGCCTGGGTGGCTCAGTTGGTTAAGCGACTGCCTTCAGCTCAGGTCATGATCCTGGAGTCCCTGGATCGAGTCCCGCATCGGGCTCCCTGCTCTGCAGGGAGTCTGCTTCTCCCTCTGACCCTCCCCCCTCTCATGTGCTCTCTCTCTCATTCTCTCTCTCTCAAATAAATAAATAAATAAAATCTTTAAAAAAAAAAAGTCAATAAGCGGAAATCAATAAAGGTATGTTAATCATTACAAAGGAAAAATGAAAGAAGGCTATGGCTGTAATCCAGAAAATGACCTAAGATTATCTCGATAAATTGTAAAAAAAAAAAACAACATAATCACATGTTACGAAAGTATGGAAAAACAAAAATATCCTAACATATAAACAAAGTTCCTCTGAGGCTGTCAGGAGGAGATGCTTGCAACCTGATACTGTGTCTGTGTCTCCTCATTCGCCAAGGCCGTCCTTTCCTACGAGAGACCCACCCCGACTGGAGCTGGACTCTGGCAGCATCTCACTCTTGGTTTGGGCCCAGGTCATGATCTTGGGGTCATGAGATTGATCCCTTTTTTGGGCTGTCTGCACTCAGTGCAGAGTCTGCTTGGAATTCTTTTCCTCTCCCTCTCCCTCAGCCTGCCCCCCCATTCACATGTGCCATGTGCACTCTCTCAAATATATAAATAATGGGGCACCTGCGTTGCTCAGTTGGTTAACTGGCTGCCTTTGGCTCAGATCATAATCCCAGGGTCCTGGGATTGAGCCCCAACTCTGGCTCCCTGCTCAGTGGGGAGTCTGCTTCTCCCTCTCCCTCTGCTCATGTTCTCTCTTGCGCCCTCATTCAAATAAATAAATGAAATCTTCAAAAAAAAAAACCCATAAATACATAAAATCTTTTTTTTAAAGAAATTCAAAATCTTACAGTGTTAATAACTTTTATCAGAATTGTTTGCATTATCTATATTTTGTTATTATCTGTATTCTTGATGCTGTCTGGCATCTGGGTTCTCACTAATCAAGGAAGGACTGACTGATCATCCCCCAGAACTATCCTAGGGATGGCTGACAGCAAACAGCTCAACCCAGCTTGCACAACTTTCATATGCAAACTAACCATACCAGAGCCCACCCTACTTGCACACCTGTACCTCCCCCGCCCAATTGGGCTCTTACACTCTGGCAATATTCCCCTTGGCCCTAATCATCCCAGGGACAATTTTGTTGAAATTAATAAAAATCCAATTCTAAATCTGATTAGCCTGCTTACCCTGCATCACTCATTCCTTCCCTAGAAAATACAGACTTTTTCCACATTACAGGGTTTTCCAGTTTCCCTTCCACTCCCTCTGCCTCCTGACCAATCCTAGTGTTTCCCCATGTGGCCCTCCTTGTGTGGCTTGGCATGCTCTACCTTGTTTCTAGGGATCTGAGAGTATAAAAACTTCCTACTTTGTGACAGCCATTTCTGTGTGTCTTATTGGACCTCATTAAAACAAATCCTGAATACGTTTTACTTTTTTTTTTTTTTAAGATTTTATTTATTTATTTGGGAGAGAGAAAGCAAGAGACAGAGCATGAGCAGAAGGGGAGGGGCAGAGGGAGAAGCAGACTCCCTGGCTGAGCAGGGAGCCCGACATGGAGCTCAATCCCAGGACCCTGGGATCATGACCTGAGTCTATGGCAGACACTTAACTGATTGAGCCACCCTGGCGCCCCCTGAATACATTTTACATCATTTTTCTTTTGTTATTGCTCTAGTTAACAAAGTTGTATGGTATGATCCTGATCCTATTTTCCCCATAAGGTCTGTTATGTTTTAGTATAAATTCTACATTCCAAGAGTTCTTCCAGGAAGTCATAGTGTTAAAGTCTAAACACCCATTATCTTAAGATTACTTATTATTACTTGTCTGGTGAATGGATTTCTCCCACTCACTTGAGAGGACCATTGGGATCAGAAACAAAGTTAGAACTGAAGGGTATAGATCTGAAGGTATAGGCAGGAGTAAAGCTGGCTGGTGAGATAGGTCACACAATTTAGCGTAATTCAGTGAAAAACAGTGATGTGGAGAGCTGGTCAAGAGAAATCTCTCCTGGGGCGCCTGGGTGGCTCAGTCAGTTGGGCATCTGCCTTCGGCTCAGGTCACGATCCCAGGGTCCTGGGATTGAGCCCCGCATTGGGCTCCCTGCTCCGCAGGAAGTCTGCTTCTCCCTCTCCCACTCCCCCTGCTTGTGTTCCCCCTCTCACTGTGTCTCTGTCAAATAAATAAATTGGCGCGAGCCAAGCTACTCATGCTGTTTGACAAGGTCCAAGTATGGGGGACGATCCTGAAAACAGGAGACTCCACAGCTGGCTCCTGCTATTCTCTTTCATTTTGTTTATGGCAATCTTTATAATTGTGGGAATATTTCTGGGGTTGCATGATAAAGTGACTACTCATCTTAGTTACGCCTATCTAAGCAATCATAATGAAACTAATTCCATGAAGAATTAGTTTCTATAGAACAAAATAACAAGACGGTCACGCTCTGTCTAGCACCTTTCTCTTTGCGTACTGTTTTTGTTTTAGCAAAAGTCAATAAGCGGAAATCAATAAAGGTCATGTTAATCATTACAAAGGAAAAATGAAAGAAGGCTATGTCTGTAGTCCAAAAAATGATCTAAGATTATCTCGATAAATTGTAAAAAAACCATAATCACGTTATGAAAGTATGGAAAAACAAAAATATCCTAACAAAGAAATAAAGTTCCTCCGAGGCTGTCAGGAGGAGATGCTTGCAACCTGATCCTGTGTCTGTGTCTCCTCATTCGCCGACGCCGTCCTTTCCTACGAGAGACCCACCCCGGCTGGAGCTGGACTCCAGCAATAAGTAAATAAAATCTTAAAAAAAAAAAAGAGAGAAATCTCTCCTGTTTGTCAGTTTAGGGTTGGACAAATGTTAAATCTTAAATTTAAGGGCTGAAACTTTTTGAGATGGAAAGGTTTAATGGGCATTTTGGAACAATGTTGGAACACAGCTTTAGGAAGGTGCCAGGAAGGTGGCAGCAGAAGCCATCTGAGAAAACAGCTGTTGCTATAGGAGTAGGATTAAACTGTAATATACAATAGCACAAAATGCACACCTGTCTCTGGGCTAGCACTCTCTTGGCATAGTTTTCTGTTTATAGTAATATAAAGGGTTGGTGCCATCAGGCCGACCTACAAATAGGGACAGAGGTCAGGGTTTATTTGTTAGAACAGAGGCAATTTTAGGTGTTGGTTGCCTTAGGAGGGACTGGAAATATCGACTTGGCTAGTTACTATAAATGCTTTAACTACAGCTAAGTAGCCTAAATAGTTGGAAATCTACTGTTTACAGTACCTGCCTACACTTAAAAAGATGTGTATCTGGGAGAGAATTCAAGACTGGTAGATGCGTTGACTTAATCTTGGTTAGATGTTTCCTTGAAAGACGACATGTTCCAAATATTCCACCTTGGTCTGAAAAAGGCAAAGCTTTTCTTTGGAGGTCTTATGTCGTATCTTCCAAGGGAGGTAGTAGGACTAAAGAGTTTATTTCTCTTGGATGTCAGAGCATGGTGTACATCATCAATGTTTCAAACCAGAACTGAATTGTTGGGAAAACAACTCCATCTAGGTTTCTTTTTAATGAATAAAAAGAGCTGGAGGGAAATTCACAGCAGCCCTGAAGCAATCTGATTCAGATATATAGCTGCCCTTAATAGGTAAGAGAACAATTATTGACTCTCTTCCTCTCATAATTAAAAGTTCCAACAAGGATATTCACTTGTTTTTAATACTTCTTTCCTTCCAGGAAATCTCAAACCACTAGTTGGTTTTTTTTTTTTAAGGTTTTATTTTTAAGTAATCTCTACACCCAGCATGGGGCTTGAACTTACAACCACAAGATGAAGAGTCATATGCTCTACGGACTGAGCCAGCCAGATACCTCTGAAACCACTACAATTTTAAGGATAAAATATGCCATGTCTCCCTACTTTTTTTTTTTATAGATATTTACCTTATATAGCTAAAGAAAAATGGAGCTAAATAAAAGAAAAATGGAACTAAACATGCTCCAAAGTCTTTTTTTGCCCTCCTTTTTCTTTACTTGTCTCTGAAATGCCTTAATGGGAAGTCACAAGAGTTTTGGAGAATAGGTTCAAACCTGAGGTTTTTGGTCTAAGTTTTGGAATTTTAATTTGAAGAGACATATCCTTAATTAGAACTCAATGTAAATCAGAGCATATACATATCATAAGATGAGCATGTACATCAGTGTAATTCCATAGCCCAGATGGGCTCTGTTGGGGCAAATCCCTTCTGGCCAAAACTTAAAAAATCATAAATGTGTGCAATGATGCTTAAGATATATGCACTGAGGTTGACTGCTCTGGATATATAACCACATTTCTGAGCAATAATGCTCTTTAATCAGCTATGCATATGGCTTAGCCATCCTTTAGGACAGAATTTCAATTAAAATGACCAACTACTTGTAGTTGAAGGTTTCATTAATATAGTCATGTGATATGGGTTCAGGTTACTGATTTCACACTAACAAATCTTATCTACTTGTTCCTAGAACGTGTTTGTCATATGGTAGGTACTCAATAAATGTATTTGAAAGAATGAGGGAATGATTGACACTATTTTTACTATTTATTAGTATTTTTACTATTACTATTATCTTATTTGAAAAATAAGTTACAAACTATATTTGAACAATTTAGTAATACCTAAGACAAAGGCTAGCAAAACACATTCTCTAAAATAGGATAATCAGAGATATCCTATTTCACAATAAACCTCTTATAATGATACGTAGTAGAAAGAATGGTTCTATAAAAACATAAATGTAAACTACGTTTAGATTTAGCTTATAAAGCTTAGCACCTAAATCTACCTAAAAATAACCCACATAAAAATACTAATCTTATTTTACTATTATTATATATTATTACAGGTATGAATTATTATTCTTTTAGACAAAAACAACTGTCATTTAATCATTCTAGTCTTTTATATTTTTACTATGCCTACTCAACCCAATGCCTCCTTGGGAGTTTATAATTGGCTATGCTTCAGACTCTTGTATTCAAAAAGTATTCTTAAAGAGCTTACTTCCTCTCCTAAATCAGATAATTCACTTACAGCAACAGTAGAGGTAATGTATTAGGTACAGATCTGGTAGATGTGGTAATGAAAGAATGTGGAAGTCCTTTTCCTTCTTTTTTTTTTAAGTTTGTTTGTTTGTTTTATATATTTATTTATTATTTATTTTTGTATTCATTTTTTATTCATTTATTTTTATTTAGTTAATTTAGTCAGTCAGTCAGTTTATTTATTTATTTAGTTAGTTAGTTAGTTAGTTAGTTAGTTAGTTGGTAATCTCTACCCCCAACATGGGGCTCTAACTCTTGACCCGAAGATCAAGAGTTCCATGCTCTTCTGACTCAGCCAGCCAGGCACCCTGGGGTTAGTCCTTCTCTAACTGAAAAAGGATGCAAGATATCAGCTAAATGGATCACATAAGTAGAAAATGGTGCAAGTTTGATAGAGAGGGTATGAAATAGTTGTCTCGGAAAGTAGTACCATGCATGGTCTAGGAAATGTTTCAGGATTTTAAGCTGTATGCATGATTATCTTATATGCTTAATGCAATGATCATTACTGCTATAAGCTTAAGAGGTGGTCTTTAGTTCCCTGCCACTAATTCTTACCTCTTAGATGTATCTCCACAGTGTTATGAATATTATCTTCTAAAAATACAGCGATTTTATTTATTTATTTATAAATAAATAAGTAAACTCTATCCCCAATGTGGGGCTAAAACTCATGACCTGGAGATCAAGAGTAGCATGCTCTACCAACTGAGCCAGCCAGGCACTCCTAAATATACACCTTTGATCAGTTTCTTCATAATTCAAAAACCTTTAATGGTTCTGAGCTAGTGCATTCTCCTCAGGACAATATCCTTTAAATCTAAGCCTCATCTTATCTTTCTAGGTGTCTCCTTCATCTCATACCTTCAAACAATTCTACATCTTAAGCTCTAAGACTATAGTTCTTGAAATGCGTCATGCACTTCCACGATTCTGCTTCACACTAGTATTCTGTTTGTATGGAATACTCTTCAGTCATTTGAAATCCTATTCATTCTTGAAATGATTTAGCTCAAACGCTACAGCATTCATCCATTCAACTAACATTTAAGTACTTAACAATGTACCAGACACTGGGCATACAAAGCAAAAAACAAGAAGGATAGTGAAAAAATAAAGTAAGGGAATACTTGTTCATCTGTTATGATGAATGAACCAGAGTTACATCACACTGATAAATCTTAAAAACAACATTAAGTAAACAAGCAAACTGCAAAAGGATATCACATCACTGATTGTTAAAAATATGCAAAACAGTACTATATGTGAAATTAATATTAAAACATAAAAGTGCTTGGGGGAGTGGTTACCTTGGGCAAGAGGGAACAGAATGAGATTGCGCGGAGCAGACAAAGGATTTCAATTTATATTATCAAACAATTTATGTAATTTATTTCTCCAGTTAGACGGCGAGTACACAATGTATGTCATACTTTTGTTTCTATCTTTTGTCTAAAATATTCTACTTTTTTAAAGGATCTATAAGGCTTGATTCCCTTCTGCAGCATTGCAGATCTGTCTCATAACCAGTAACTTAAAATTACCTTCCATCTTTTGCACTCTCTTGTTTCCCTTTATGCACACATTAGTACACTAGACCTTGAGGGCAGAAGTTCCAGGTGTCACCTCTGGGTATATTCGCACGTTATCCTCTTCATCAGATTCCTGTTCCCTCCAGTCCTCTCAGGCCCAACTAGGCCTTCTAAGAATTTCAGCCTGACCCTTTCGGCCGACCCTAGAACAGCTCCCCTCAAATCCCGGATTACTGTTCCCCTTCCCCCGGGAGACCTCAATTCGTCCCCTGAACAAAAACAGAATGTGCCTCCCCCAACAAACCCCTGAGTATCTCCCCTTAGCAGTCTCTGGTCCACTCCTATCACGGACTGCCTTTCTCCTCACCTCCAGCCCAGCGCCTCAAGCCTCCCGTTTCGCCCGTAGAGCCGCGATTCGGCGCGTCCCCCCATTCCCTACGCAACACCACTTCCGGCCTAACCTTAGCACCCACAAACATTGCACTTTCAGCCGGAAAAGGGCTGGCTCGGCCCTCTGCGCACGCGCAAAACATGAGGCCGGGTCCGCAGCTTCTCGTCCAGGCGCTCGCGCGGCAGTCTCGCGGTATTTCCTTCCCCCGCTGGGATTATTTGAACGCTCTGGCGGTAATTCGAATTTGGGTGCTCGGCGGCGGGCTGACCGGATTCTGAGATGGCTTTGTATTTTTATTTATTTATTTATTTTTAATTTTATTTATTTGCGAGAGAGAATGAGAGACAGAGAGCACGAGAGGGGGGAGGGTCAGAGGGAGAAGCAGACTCCCCGCCGAGCAGGGAGCCCGATGCGGGACTCGATCCCGGGACTCCAGGATCATGACCTGAGCCGAAGGCAGTCGCTTAACCAACTGAGCCACCCAGGCGCCCTCTGAGATGGCTTTGTAGACTTCACCTGGGGTCCGCGGGGCCCCTGCAGCCCGGAGCGGACGAGGCTCGTCCCGGCCGGGTGCCGGCGCCACGGGGGCGGAGAAGAAGCTGCTGCCGGTTAAGGAGGCCTTTCAGCTGGCGCAGCAGCCGCACCAGAACCAGGCGAAGCTGGTGGTGGCGCTGAGCCGCACCTACCGCACGGTAAGCGCGGCCCCGGGCCTCGGCCGCCGCCCCTCGCCCTCCCCGGACCAGCGTCCCCCAGGGGCCTCCCGTGGCCCTCCGGACTCCAACCTTCCGAACCTCCCGACCCAGTTCGGAGAGGTCTGGAGACCTGCCCCAGGTCGCCCGGGCACCCCCTCTCCCCAGCGGCCTCCGGCCGCCGGACCCCCGAGTGACTCGTGAGCGGACGCAGATCCTGACAGTCTTTATAAAAGGATTGTAGGGAATTTTGAATTTTAGTACCATTGTACCTGGTTTACCTTTTTTTTTTTAAGATTTATTTATTTATTTATTTATTTATTTATTTGAGAGAGAGAGAGAATGAGAGACAGAGAGCATGAAAGGGAGGAGGGTCAGAGGGAGAAGCAGACTCCCTGCCGAGCAGGGAGCCCGATGCGGGACTCGATCCCGGGACTCCAGGATCATGACCTGAGCCGAAGGCAGTCGCTTAACCAACTGAGCCACCCAAGCACCCTGTACCTGGTTTACTTATTTAGACACCCATATTGTATTTAATGATCACAGTCTTGCGTCTCTTTAGGTTAACAGTTCACTGATTTTTTTTTTGATTGTATTCCATTTTAGGTTTTTTTTTTAATTTTTTTTATTCTTATGTTAATCCCCATACATTACATCATTAGTTTTAGATGAAGTGTTCCATGATTCATTGTTTGTGCATAACACCCAGTGCTCCATGCAGAATGTGCCCTCCTCAATACCCACCACCAGGCTAACCCATCCTCCCACCCCCTTCCCCTCTAGAACCCTGTTTGTTTTTCCGAGTCCATCGTCTCTCATGGTTCGTCTACCCCTCCGATTTCCCCCGCTTCATTCTTCCCCTACTGCTACCTTCTTCTTCTTCTTCTTCTTTTTTTTTCTTAACATATATTGCATTATTTGTTTCAGAGGTACAGATCTGAGATTCAACAGTCTTGCACAATTCACAGTGCTTACCAGAGCACATACCCTCCCCAGTGTCTATCACCCAGTCACCCCATCCCTCCCACCCCACCCCCCACTCCAGCAACCCTCAGTTTGTTTCCTGCGATTAAGAATTCCTCATATCAGTGAGATCATATGATACATGTCTTTCTCTGTTTGACTTATTTCACTCAACATAATACCCTCCAGTTCCATCCACGTCGTTGTAAATGGCAAGATCTCATTCCTTTTGATGGCTGCATAATATTCCATTGTATTTATATACCACATCTTCTTTATCCATTCATCTGTTGATGGACATCTTGGCTCTTTCCACAGTTTGGCTATTGTGGACATTGCTGCTATAAACATCGGGGTGCACGTACCCCTTCGGATCCCTACTTTTGTATCTTTGGGGTAAATACCCAGTAGAACAGTTCACTGATTTTTAACATAAATCTGCATTTCATTAACCAGGTTTAAAATACATACATAAATATACATTTATATTTCTACCCTGTAGTGATTTTAACAAAATACACTTCTTTATTATTGACAAAATCAGTCAGTGCATCTTTGTTACAAACCAGCTATTTTTCAGGTTGATATACTTAATTGCCTTTTTTTAAAAAAGATTTTATGTATTTATTTGACAGAGAGCAGGAACACAAGCAGGGGGAGTGGGAGAGGGAGAAGTAGGCCCCCCACCGAGCAGGGAGTCCGATGCAGGGCTCGATCCCAGGACCGTGGGATCATGACCTGAGCCAAAGGCAGACGCTTAACGTCTGAGCCACCCAGGCACCCCCATAATTGGCTTTTATTATCATTTTAAGAAATAGAAAAAAGCATTTCTTTTTCTCAAGCTAATTTTTTTATTTGGCAGGATTACACAAAGATTAAAAAACTATTTCACTGGATTTTTAAAACTTTTTTTGATTAGTAAATATTTTACATGCTCGAAGTACATAGAAAGAAATGCACTGAGAAGACTCACTCCTTTCCTAGTCCCCATCCAGCACTGTCCCTCATAGTCTTTTACAGATAACCATTTTTAATTAGTTTCTTGTTTATCCTTCAGGTCTTCATGCAAATTCAAGCAAATGTGAATATGCATTATTTCCCTTCATTCCTCTCTCAATATTTTCTACATTGTTCTGCACTTTGCTTTTTTCATTTAATAGTATATTCTGGATACTCCTTATCACTGTCTAGTTAGATTTCCTCATTTTTCTTTTTCTTTTTTTAGCTGTCATATATTCCATTTTGTGGACATACTCTAATTTATAGCCAATGCACTATAGGTACACACTTGTATTGTTTCCAGTCTTTGCGTATTAGAAATGATTTTTTTTTTTAATCTCTGTACCCAACGTTGAGGGCTCGAACTCAACCCCGATATCAAAAGTGGCATGCTCAGGGCGCCTGGGTGGCTCAGTTGGTTAAGCAACAGCCTTCGGCTCAGGTCATGATCCTGGAGTCCCGGGATCGAGTCCCACATCGGGCTCCCTACTCAGCAGGGAGTCTGCTTCTCCCTCTCCCGCTCCCCCCTCTTGTGCTCTCTCTCTCTCTCAAATAAATAAATAAAATCTTAAAAAAAAAGTGGCATGCTCAGGGGCGCCTGAGTGGCTCAGTCATTAAGCATCTGCCTTCGGCTCAGGTCATGATCCCAGGGTCCTGGGATTGAGCCCCGCATCGGGCTCCCTGCTCTGTGGGAAGCCTGCTTCTCCCTCTCCCACTCCCCTTGTGTTCCCTCTCTCACTGTGTCTCTCTCTGTCAAATAAATAAACTCTTAAAAAAAAAAAAAGTGGCATGTTCTACTGACTGAACCAACCAGGTGCCCCTAGAACAATGTTTAAATGAATACATATTTCCTACATTTGCAGGGGTAACTGTCAGATTGTCTGAAGCGAATTGCTGTGTCAAAGAGGAAATGTATTTGTAAATGTGATAATTACAGTTGCCCTTCATAGAGTGGTCCATTCTATACTCCCAGCAGCCAAGTATGAGAGGTATTCCCTTTTTTTTTTTTTTTGAGGGTGTTTGGGAACCACTGAAATATAATTGGATTTTTTTTTTTTAAATATTTTATTTATTTATTTGACAGAGAGAGAGCACAAGCACAGGCAGTGGCAGGCAGAAGGAGAGGGAGAAGCAGGCTCCCCGCTGAGCAGAGAGCCAGGACCCTGGGATCATGACCTGAGCCAAAAGCAGACGCCCAGCGACCGAGGTGCCCCTAGGGGGATGTTTCTGATAGATAAGAAAATCTGTACGTAAAATCCTGAATAGTGTGGAAATAGTAGTTACAATGATAAATGATTTATCAAAAAGAAATTGCTGTGTTATAGGAAGGCGAAATTATAAAAGGCAGTGTTGAGGGCGCCTGGGTGGCTCAGTTGGTTAAGCATCTGCCTTCGGCTCAGGATCAAGTCCCGCATCGGGCTCCGTGCTCGGCAGGGAGTCTGCTTCTCCCTCTGACCCTCCCCCCTCTCATGCTCTCGATCTCATTCTCTCTCTCAAATAAATAAATAAAATCTTTAAAAAAAAAAAAAAAAAGGCAGTGTTGAATTGACACCAGTGGTTTTTTTCCTTTTTTTTCAACTGAACTGTATTTATCTTTGGTACATTTTTCTAAATAGACTGAAGGATGTGTAGAAGAATCAGAAGAATCTTTTGTAATCAAAATATTATGCTGCCTTCCTCCGTAACAGAAGTAACTCAAAAACAGGAGAGACACAAGTAAACGATTACCCAAGTCTATTTGCCTTAATCATTTCTTCTTCTGGATAGACGATTAAAAGTTATTAAGGAATAAAGATTTTAGTTTGATGAGAAATTATTACCTTGGAGTCTTAGGTCAGTACTGGGGATAAAGACTTATCAATGTAATTTGTGAAGGATTGGTTTTATATTTCTGGTTATCAGTAAAACATTTTTTCAGGAGGCATTTGTTCATACCTTAAATACATTATGATAGTCTGTAAATATGAAATCTGCAGTGAAGCAAGAAATAGAGGGCGCCTGGGTGGCTCAGTTGGTTAAGCAACTGCCTTCGGCTCAGGTCATGATCCTGGAGTCCCGGGATCGAGTCCCGCATCGGGCTCCCTGCTCAGCGAGGAGCCTGCTTCTCCCTCTGACCCTCCCCCCTCTCATGTACTCTCTCTCATTCTCGCTCTCTCAAATAAATAAATAAATCTAAAAAAAAAAAAGAAATAGAATTTGCACCAGTTTTACTTCATTTAGCCAAATAGAAGGAAGATGAAGACCGTGACATTTCAAGTTATTTTAATTATTTTACTTTCTCTTGAAAATACTCTGCAAGTTTTATCAATTTTTATTAA